GCTGGGCGTGATTGGCAAGCGAGGCGGGCCCCATAAACCACCCTTACCTTTACCCCACCAGCCTGGTTTTTCGTGTTGTCGGTGTCACTACTTTGTTGCTCATTGCACTAACAATACTAGTGGCATCAACAATTTAATGGGAGCTACGAAGTAATCTAGATTACACATAACGGTGGCTCAGACCACATCTGATGAAGCTCTGCACAGCTTCTGAACATTACTCAGAGATCATAGACTCGCTTGTGCAACAAAATCCAAGGTGTCCTCACGCTTCCTAACGAAGGACGGGCATTTCCAAACAAGCCTCCACAATCAATAAATGCATCGACAGTCTGCCCAAAGTAAACTAATAAACTACAAAGTACTTCCAAAAGATCATCAATTCATCAACTTGTCTTAGCCTACGGGGCATCATCACAGGCGGCTCCTTTACCACGTGGTAGTGTAATTACTTTGTCTTACCTCTTCTCCTCCCACGAGGTGACCGAGCTCCTCGAAGGAGGAAGGAGGCCTGATTATCCAACGCTGATGCCGAGATGAGAAAGCGGATCAGCAAGAGGTGTGGGCGTCTCCAACACGAGAAACGGAAGAGTAGGTCAAAGGCAAAAGAGCACGCACTGATGATGTGCACTTCCGGTCAATCATGAAAACATCCTGTCGCCCGAAATAGGACAACACGCCCGTTTTCCATGATCTTCGTGCCAACTCCACAATGTCGCAAGATTTTTGGCCAGGAGAGGTTTCGGCGATGAATGTACCAAGTAGTGTACGAAGCACTTATTCTCATTTCCGTTAAGTCCGTGGCACTAAGACAACCAAGTTAAACACCCCGCCGCCTCCAACAGTTTCCTCTTCCACTGTAACCCCCCCAGGGCGGTTGGATGTTTCATCGAGATCTCGCTCCCCCAGTTTCGCTCACCGATCCGATCCATCCTTGCCAAGAGCTGATGTGGTACGACTTCCGCTTCACCGAGCTCTCACCAATGCTTACCTAAACCTTACAAACAACATCAACTGACACTTCCTACAGGCCACGGAGATTGTAACTCAAGCCATCAATTCCATGTGGCTTCACCGGGGTTGCGGGAGTCGGACAGTCTTTTATCCCGGCCTCTTGGGTGGCCCGGCGTTGCCCGGCGTTTGCTTGAAAGGCGTGGGATCATTAGCCGTGCCACATATTCCTCGGTGTGTGCTCTCCCGACGTTCTCTCCTGGTTGGTCAATGGAGGCGTCCTTCACCGATCCCCCCCCGGACATCGACATGCGTGTTAGTGGGAATTAACACCAACAATATTAACACAAACTTGGGGTAAAAGCCTAAAAGGGAACTCTATATTTGATCATGAAGTTTGCTGTCACATCTCAATATTTACTTTCCAGGGTCCGTTCATCGACGTAGAGAACTGTACTCCTATCTTGCCCCCCTTGTCACTTCCACCGACTCTCCTCATCGTTCCCTTCCTTCGCATTCGTTCTGAGGCGACCTTTCAAGGGCTACTTGCCGGGAGGCTTGCCGGAGCGGCGCAGGCAGACCACACCGGGTACTATCCGGAAAACTGCCCGAGCAATCAATCCGCCAAACTCGCAGGCGCAGATCCGTGTTCGGGCCGCACACACCCCGTACATCCAGGCATCCAGTCGGACTATTTTTCTCCTCCTTAACCCTGCCAGATCGGACCTGGGGTTTAAATACCTTGAAACCTTGGCCTGGATATTTGTCAGGACGACAGCATCTGTCTCATAAAGGTATAACGATCGCGGATGCTGATCTATGTGAGGAAGCCTAGACTTCCGACATGCATGATTCTAATAACAGGAGAAGATCACATTGAATGGGCGAGCATGCACATGGAGGTTGGGGGAAGAGCACCGAAGGATTTTGAGGGACGTCAGCGTGCTTCGTCTCAGCCCCCGCCCAGCCCCAACTGAGCCCTGCATAGTTTACAACCGAGATGTCATCGAGGAGTTTGAGCCCTTATTCGGCATACGACAAGTCGTGATACGCTGATCTCCTCCCTGAAAGGGAAGGAGATCCGACTCTCAGTACATTGAGCGCTCCCAACGACCTCAGTCCCTAGCAATATCGTCTCCCACTCTTCACACACATACACACACACACACACACCCAACCCCTTCCTGCGTATTCTAGATTAAACAGCAGAACCAACAAACGAAAGCAAAGTCTATGCTTCCGCAGGGCTTATGCGGGAAGGGGGAGATGCATGCCCCATCACTCATGTGAGCAGACACCGCATGCATGCCGTTCCGGGGTAAGAAACAAGGTTTCCAGCCCTTCCATTGGACATACGCCGGCAGCTCTCCGACATGATAGGCAAAGCCAACGCCTTATGTGACAATAAAGTGCGAGGCTTGCATCAATGATCCTTTCAAGCGTCTGTCGGATATGCACCTGGTATTATCCGAAGGGGGGAACATGTTGAGGCAACCCGCACGTCTTATCACAGGGTCTTAGATCCTACAAAAAACGAAACTAATTTTCCCTCTTTTTTTTTGGAGCTTACAAGGAGTCGTTAGATGCCTCGCATACTTGCTTGAATCTCTCTTCCCCCCATCTACCCTTCCCCGGTGCATACGCGGATGCAGGCGCTGGGACGCCACCACATAACCGACCTGCTCGCTCATGCATGTTTCCTCCGCATGTTTCTAGATGCACACGGAAAACAAGAATAGGGCGGCAGACCAACATTTAAGGGTCTACTGGATGCCAGGGTCTCCCTAAAAGGAAAAAAAAAAATATTACGTGCGATTTATCAGGAATTGTTGGTGCTTACCTCGCGCCTCATGCAGCCATGCGTCACCCCCAATAAACTAAGGAAATGCGGAGGAAGCAATACCCTTTTCCAAGTATTAGACCTTTGCTTTATTTTATGGTTTAACTCTTTTCTTGGCTTACCGGACTATTGATTCCCTCCGTCCCCGAAATGCTGAGCGCCATCGTCTGATAAGGATGTGGACAGGGAGATTTCGAGGATGGACGGACGGGGGTGCTTTGATATCAGTGAGATAAGGGAGATTAATATGCGATACGCATCGAAGCCGGAGCCTGATATCAGAGAGCTATATTTGGCCATTTCCGAGGAACCTGGCGGTTTCGGAATGAATAGGAAGGTGGACATCGGCGAGGACATTAAAGAGATAGAATTTGGTTCAAGAAGGCTTGGTTAGATGGCTACGGAATGGGGTGGGTTCGTCGATGTGATGTCGCTTACACCGTTGCATCTGTTAGTATTCCGAAAGGCGTCTCCGTCCTCTTCTTCTGGATATGAATCATCATGGTCAGCGAGGAAACATTGGAGCGTGCCTCGACTACAGTGTGTAGCTCAGCGGCGAGAAAGTCCACTGCTAGTCTACCTCTCTTCTGCCGCGATTTGGACAGTTGTTGTTCACCGTTAAGCTTGAAGATAGTCCCCTCTGTCTCTACAAGAGAATCCTCTGCGGTGGAAGAATGGTTATTTTTCAAGTAATAGGATATTCTTTACCACAAACCTGTCGTGAAAGCGATTCACTTGAGTTGTAAATTGTTTTAGAGATGAATCCAAGATCGTAGTGAGTGCTTGCTCTTGGAATGGGCTAAAAATAAGCCCTCTTCTTCTTGACTTCGAATGGAGAGCTGTGGAATTAGATTTTCGTCTCGCGCAATGGCATTGAGACGGTTCGGCCACCAAACATCTCTTTCGCTCTCTCTTTACCCCTGCTCAGTAAGAATGGTTATCGTTCGTGGAGATAATAGCACGAACCTGACGATAAGTGAACATAGCGTCTCAACTTGCCCTTACACATAGAAGTCAGGAGACGGGACTTGTCTCATGTCTGTAAGTGGCCCTTCATCAATATTACCGAGCTCACATATCATCTCTAGCCGGGTGCGTGCATTCCGAGATGTTCGATACCATCCCTTTTCCATTCGGGGACACACATGACGCAAATTGGAAGAAAAAGCGTTCGAGCGGTGGGTAATGTACGAACCATCGGGCCACGGAATCACAATGGCGAGTTCTGGCAAGAAGCTTGGCCAGCATCTAGACTCGATAATAAGTAAGTATAAGAACTGTGGTGGCCTTTTCCGTTGAAAATATCCTCCGAACTGACAGTATATATATATATATATATACACACTTCTTCCTTGGACAAGCAATCGCCCGTATCACTGCCCTGGTCGGCATTGCAAATCAGATTTCTAGACCTTGCGCGCTGCCATTAACCATTCGGTGAGCGGGTCATCCAGGTTCGCCCTTTTTCGGTTCTGTTGAAAATATTGTGAGCTCCTCCGTCGACCACATATGGTGCTGGCCCAGAAGAGCGAGTTTATACTTCGTACCGTGGGTCAGAACGGTGGCCAGAGGCGACGTAACCCAACTGATATGAGGAAGCGTACAGAGCTCGGTGGTTTCTCAGCAGCGAGGTTGGCTTGTGGTGTTCATGAGATCAGATAGGCTTGAATATTTTGATCCAAGGAGGTTTTTGCCTAGGGGTAGAATCAATGGGGAGCAGGGTTCGCCGTCTTACTGTCCTTTTTTTTTTTTTTTTTTTCTCTCTCTTCCATTTAAACTACTGCACCGGGAGGATACAGTCCAATGAGGAGAGATCCTTTTTGAGTCATAGGGCTGCAGAGCTGTCCTTCTTCGGAAAAGGGAACCGGAGATCTCAGGATTGGCAGGCGGCAACGTGCGTCGTATTTCGCATGCATCGCTTTTACCGTGTTGAATACGGAGCAGGTTAGTGGACTGACTTCACTCATCCGGAAATGGTCCAGCAAATCGACAGATCGGTTCCTGGAAGGGTGGTATCAAGCACCTGATGGCCTGTTTATAAAGTTCTGAGCTCCTTGTTCGAGGTTGAAGAATCTTGGATCCAGATCAGTTCAATGCGCTCTCAAAGCTCTCCGCTTCTAGAGTAAACCGCATTAATTGATCAATACTCGAATTGATTTGAACCAAGTTCTCCTCATCTCGGTCGAGATATAATCTTTACCTGCAAGGCATGGAAGCGAAGCTCAATTCTATTCTTCAGAATCACGTTGCCACCGGCGAGGACACCAAGGGCAAGCTCCTCGGGGTTTCATTTCTTGTCGTTACAAAAGATGGTTAGTCTTTTCCCATCGTTCTATTCTCAGCCATAAAATCAAGGGGGCAAAAAAGAGATGAAACATCCAGACCCTAGACTAACACATGCCTGTAGATATCCTCTTCTCCGGATCTGCGGGACGCATCGCTCTAGAGACGTCGTCCCCCGCCTGGACCGACAAGTCCCTAACCTGGATCGCATCCATGTCAAAATTGATCACCATCTCCGCGATGATGCAACTCGTAGAAAGGGGCCTCATCGGCCTTGACGACGACGTCAGACCTCTCGTGAAGGAGCTTCGTGAGGTGCAGATTCTCAAGGGTTTTGACGCCGATGACAAACCTTTACTTGAGCCCAACACGAAACCAATGACATTTAGGTAAAAAGAGCTTCCTCGACATATGCAATAGATTGTGGGCTACCACGAACATGTTATGTATTAACCAAAACGCAAAACCCCTTCTTTTATATTAGACACCTCCTCACCCACACCGCAGGCTACGGCCTCGACCTAGCCGACCCAGACCTCATAAAATGGTCCAAAGTCACCAACCGCAAGGTAAACGGCCAATCCTGGTCCGTCGATGGCATCAACGTACCATTGAAATTCGCCCCCAGTGAAGGCTGGTACTATGGCTTCAGCACCGACTGGGCCGGCCGCGTCCTCGAGGCCGTCACCGGCAAGACTCTCGGCGCATACCTCCAGGAAAAAGTTCTGGATCCCCTGGGCATGAAAGACACCGGATTCTGGCCCGAGAGGCTGTCGGCGCATAGGGAGTTGACTCCTTACATGTATCGGCGGAAGAACGGCGAGTTGAAGGAGGGGGAGCCGATGTTTAATGCCAAGGAGCATGAGATTGAGAGTGCCGGCTCGGGATTGTTCACGACGCCGAGGGATTATGCCATGTTTTTGAGCGGGTTGATGGCGGGGAAGGTTGTAAAGAAGGAGACGCTGGAGTTGATGCTGACGCCGCAGTTGGACGAGGCGCAGGAGCACATGCTCAATTTGATTGCGGATATGGTCAAGGAGCAGTTCGCGCCGGAGTGGCCGGGAAAGCCCAAGCTGAACCACGGCATCGGAGGTGTGATTAGCCTGGAAGATATCCCTGGCAAGCGAAACAAGGGCAGTCTTGCTTGGAGCGGCGCAGCGAATTCGAGATGGGTAAGCTTCTTTTATTTTCACACAACAGAGCTAGCGAATTGCTATTTAAATTGAGCTTGAGCTGACAGTTTTTGTGTGAATTAGTGGTTTGATCCCAAGGCGGGCATTGCTGCGGTGGTGATGACGAATGTTCAACCTCACGGCGATGCTGTCATGACGAGTCTCTGGGACCAGCTTGAGAGGGCAGTCTACGAAAACCTCCGCTCTTCCGGTTCTTAATGCGGATAGGTATGTGGAACCATGCGGTGGGGAGAAGAGTGCAAAAACCGCCGCACGTCCGTACCTTGTTTTACTTTTTATTTCTTGGTATTCTGGTGATTCTAGCTATCAGTGCCCATGAGGGACAGGAACCGCTCATCTTCCGTAGATTCCTGGATGGAGTCCATAACGTTATACAGCACCTCTCGGCACTTTTGCCGAAAGCCCAACGCAAGTTTCTGGTTTTCCGAAAGGTCCTCTTCCCCATCTTCCTCTGGGAGTTCAGGTTCGCTGTCCTCTAGTTTCTGAAGCTCCTGAAGCGCCTTTTGCTGGATCGTAGCGAGGATGATTTGGAGGATCTGCGCTTTTTCGCGGGGTAGGTCTGCCGTGAGAACTCTTCGGAGGTAGTCATCGGTGTTTGCGATTGTGGGATCCGAAAGGGATTCATTGTTTCTCAGTATTTGCTCGAGAATATCGAGGACCATGGATGCTTGGGCGTGTTTAAAGGCGGGGAAGAGGGTTGGCTCGAGATCAAGGAAATCGTTCTGAAAGACGCGTCCGATGACGGACCTTGGATCCATCATCGGCCGCAGGGAAAATAAATATTCTAGAGGCTTCTGCTGCTCCGAGCTGCTCGCGGAGTTGGCGTCGGGGACAACCCGTTTACGGACATGGACGTAATCGTTTTGTAGGCTCGGAGACTCTTCTATGACGAATCCATAGGCAAGGAGAAGCTGCGCGTTTGTTTTCATGCCATAATTATTGAAGACCTGGCTGCCAGCCTCATACGAATCCCTCGTGATGAGGCTGCATGAGTTGGTCTCGCTGTTGATATCCCAAGAAGTCTTTGCCATCATCGAATGATTTCCGATATCGTAAAGTGGAAGTAGAATAGAGAAGGAATTCCAATCAACTCTTGAGCCATCTAACTCGGACTTGTTAGGTACGACGAGCGTCGGCATGAAGCTTCGGCTCGTGAAGATGAAATACGCCCAATTATACAAGACGCGCGTATAATCACCCCAATTCTGCCACCCCTTGAGCAACCTTCTCGCCTCTTTAAACTCGTTCTTGAGTGTCGCCTTGATTTCCGTGACCGATACCTCGAGGTTCGTTCCGTCTAGGTAGGCGAGGTCCTCTTCCGGCCAGAAGGGAGGGAGGAGCCATGATGATAGCTGCTCTGGCTGAGGAAGGGCGCGGATGTAAGGCCACCAGAAGGAGCTTTTCCCAAGGAGATACTGCTTCATGAGAAAGAATCGACTGATGACGTGTGGTGGTGCCTCGTTGAGGAATTCGGATGGGAAACGGGCGTCTTCGGATCCTTGATGGAATCCTGGGGGAGGGTTGGGCAGCGCATTGAGGTAGGAGAGAGTTATTGACATGGGACAGGTGACGACGGTGTCGCCGGGTTTGACTTGCAAGTCATTCTTTACCCTGAATCCGGCTCCCGTAGCCGGATCCTGGGCGATTTGGATGTTTGGGTGAAGCTCAGCTCCGTGAGACACGGCCCAGGTGCGGAGGGCGTCATAAGGGCTTTCCTCACGAGCGACACCGTCACTCATTTTGGTTTTGTCCCCTTCGATCCCTCTTTGTTTATCTTCGTTTGGTTTTATTTTCTCTTTTTATTTTAATTTTCAAAAACAGGAACTCGGTGACGGTGAAATTTCCAATGGTCACATCGAATTATTCTTGCCCGAGTCCCGCTTGTGAGGACGTTTCCTCTTCTGGCGGAGAATGGTGGGGTAGCTTTGGAGGGGCACGCCTCGGGGCAGAATATCGGCAAAACCCGCCCTGGAATCTCTCTGAATCCAAGTGACGACGATGACTCAGGCAGCGACAAACAGACCCCACCATCGTCATTGCCATCTCCATCAAATCGCTGGGAACCTGCATCTTCACCATCAACCTCATCCGACCATCCTTCCAAGATTTTCGTGGCGATTCTCAAGCTAACCCTTCAAACAACCGTGACACTCGCTATACCTCTATCCTAACAGCGGCAAAAAGGAAAAGAGATCCCTCCAAAGGGCCAAAAAAAAAAAAATAAAAATAAAAACCTCCATTCTCTTCCCCCCCCCCCGGCACGAACCTCGCGACGAGACGATATTGCCTCCCCCAACTTCAACCAACTCCAACTATCCAAACACCTCCTTCGCCCCTCTCCAAAATGAACCGCCTCTTCGGCTCCGCCCCAAAGGGCCCCAAACCAACCCTCAACTCCGCCATCTCCAACATCGACGACCGCATCTCCTCCATCGACGTAAAACTCGCCTCCATAAACGCCGAACTAACCACCTACCAAACCAAACTCTCCAAAATGCGCGACGGCCCCGGAAAATCCGCCCTCAAGCAAAAAGCCCTTAAAGTCCTCCAGCGCCGCCGGATGTACGAGTCCCAGCGCGAACAGCTGCAATCCCAGGTCTGGAACATGGAGCAGGCGCAGACGATGCAGGATAATCTCAAGAACGTGATGACGACCGTCGACGCGCTCAAGACTACGAACAAGGAACTCAAGAGACAGTACGGGAAGGTTGATATTGATCGGATCGAGAGGCTGCAGGATGAGATGGCGGACTTACTGGATGTTGGGAATGAGATACAGGAGAGTTTGGCGAGGAGCTATGATGTTCCCGAGGATGTGGATGAGGCCGAGTTGGATGCTGAGTTGGAGGCTTTGGGGATGGAGGTTGAGATGGAGAGGGAGGGGGAGCTGGGGGCTGTGCCGGCGTTTATGCAGGATGAGTTGCCCGAGTTTGTTGATGAGCCACCTGTGATGGAGGACAAGGTGAAGGAGGCTGCTAGGTAGATGAGGGGAGGTTCTTTTTTTGTTTTCGCTTTTCTCTAGGGCATGATTAGGGTGGCGTTTTTTTGGGGAGCGTCTCTTGGGCATGTGAATGTTTCTCATTTCTTTCTTTTTGCCGTTCCTGTACCAGATCATGCAACATACATAGTCTTGACAGACTGCCAGAGCGTGGTGTATTCAAACCGCCAGTACTCCGTAGGTAGCCACCTTTTTCTCGAACAGAACTCTCCTAATCCTCCTCCCAGTGCTTCACTAACCACAAGCAAGCATTAAACAACAAGCTATCACGATTCTAAGATGGAACTGTTAAGAAGTCATCATCAATACCCAATAATAAGTAGTAATTACAAAAAAAGCAATATCTGTAACCAATACAGGTTCTATGCTGTTTAGTACGAGATATGTTCTTCAACGCCATCTGAGGCGATTCTGACCTGTGTTTTCCCAATGTCCATAACGAATGTCGTAATGTGCCTTGCCTAGCCCTGGCCCTGGCTCCAAAAAACAATGAATACAGAAATCCCAAATAAAGGTAAAACCTCCAGGAGGGGGTTGTTAGGTGTTGTTGCATCCCACATCCAGGAAACGGAGGGGATGCAACGAATCCTGATCGAATAAAAGCAAAACATACTCCATAACGAACATTGAAACCTTTAGACAAGATGGGATTTCCCAGAGTTATGTATCCAACTCCCTTTCCTTGATTTTTTTCTTCTTTGTCCTTTTTTTTTTTTTTTTTTTTTTTTTTTTTTTTGCTTTCGTTAGTCGGTTTTCTCGCTAAAGGTTGGCGCCCTTATTCAATAGGCGCGAAAAATCTCGACACGGCCTCGAGCTCCGCATCGCCGTTGCAAAAATCCCACCCGACAATGACACTCGTCTGACTACAACAAATGATCCTCCGGGCATCAAACTGCAGCTTGAACACCCTCGCGGGGCTTCCGTCCACCATGTGTTGGTGGTGTGGTTGGGCCGGGTGCGCGACGTAGAGGTGGTGATGGGCGGCGAAGGGGGCGGCCGCCGCCGCACCGTGAACTCCGGCATGTGCCGCTGCCGTTGGTGCTGCTGGTGCTGGTGCTGCTGGTGGTGGTGTTGGTGTTGGTGCTGCTGCATGCGGCGTCGCTGGAGCAGTAGCGGCAGCTGTTGAGACCTGTGCGTTGGTCACCTGCCTGCCTGGCCCGTGTGACGCGGTAGAACCAGAGCCGGAGATGGGAGCATGGCCAGGAACAGGAGCAGGCGGTACTGAAAGGTTCTGTTGTTGCGCGGGTACCTGGGGCGCGAGACTAGGTAGGGTATTTGGAGGAGGTGCAGTAGATGGTCCTGCAGCCGACGCCGAAAGCGGGGGGGTGCTGCGGGCTTGGAACTGATTGGCAATCGCCCTGGCGCGGTGTTGTGAGCGCTCTATGGCGGCCGCAACCGTCTGACGCAGCTGGTTGCGCACGTACGGTGAAGTGACGCGGTCGATAGCCCCGTGTAGCTGGCCGAGGTTAGAGAGCATCGCGGGATACGCCAGCAGCGCATTCTCGAGATCGGTAACGCCCCGCGAAACCACCACGTTAATCAAAGCCTGGTACGACTCGGGGCCTGCTTGGGAACCTGGTGGCGGAAGGATTGGACCAGCACCACCCCCCTGAGACTGTGGTGTCTGAGCTGGCGGTGGTGTCGGTGGTGGAGGACCCGCTGTCGTGTTGCTGCTTGGGTGGCGGACTGAGGGATGAAGAGTTACTGGGGGGTTGGACACCAGCGGTGGCAGTGCCTGGCGCTGGGCCGCGATTTGTGCCTTCTCTTGGTGGAGGTGGTGCGCATCCTTCCAGATTCCCTCCTTGTCACGACGCCAAATTATAATGCTCTGGTCGTAAGACCCCGATACGATACGTGCGTATTTGCCTCCGCCGCCGCCAGGAGGAAGGTTGGCACCGTAAGCGGTAATGTCTTCCGGTCGCCTGCTTCCGGCGTTCCCACGACGCCGTGAATGGGCTCGAGTGGGTTGACCCGCATTTGACACGGCACCCGTCTCCAACGCCTTAAAGTATTCTTCGTCAATGAGTCTCGCAGCCTCGCGATCCTCTTCTTCACTGTTGGGCAAGTCGCCGAATCCGGCTTGTACCGTTCTCACCAAGTGGGTGTGCGCACGGAGGCTCGCTACTTCTAGACCCGTCGAGCTGTCGAAGACCTTGACCTCGTTGTCGCTGCTGCCGCTGACAATTCGTCGACCATCGTACTGGACACAGGCAATGCCTTTTAGGTGCCCGAGGATAGTGCGAGTACACTTCTGCTTAGGCCAGTCCCAGACCTTGATCGCCTTGTCACCGCTGGCAGAGACAACCTCGTCGCCGCAAATCTGAACGGCATTCACGGCGGCGTTATGGCCTTGGAGCGCACCGATCATCGTGTACGGCGCGATCACAGGAAGTTCGTCGGCGAGGTTGGGCTGGTACCCGTAGTTCTTCATCTTGATGGGGACGGGGTTGACGAACTCGCTCTGGGGATAACCCACGTCGCCGTAGCGGAGCGGCCGCCGGTTGAATATCTTGATCGTCTTGTCTTTTGAGCATGTCACGAGGATCCGTTTATCAAACTTGACGTTCAGCACTGACTCGCGGTGTGCCTTCTGGAGTCGCTGAATCAGTTTGCCCGTAGAGAACTTCCACAGAATGACGTCGGAGTCGCTGCTTCCCGAAACCAGGAGATCTTCCTCAGGATCGGCGTCAAATTGCAGGCATAGGACGGAGCCGGAGTGCGCAACAAGCGGCGGCAGTATCAGCCGGCGCGTTTGCATGCTCCAGATACGGAGCGTTCGATCCCTAGAACCACTGACGAGATACTCGGATGTATATTGCAGGCTGTAAACGCACTCCTTATGGCCTTCTTCTGGATGGTCTGGATGCGGGAACTGGAAGTTTGTAAAGCGACCCAATTCCCAGTTAGACTCGAGGCGTCTCCTCATGGAGTACAGATATTTCCAGTTGATAACATATCTGTCATCACGAGGTTCCCAGTTCCAGAGGGTGGATGGCATGAGGCCATCAACATACTGAGGCGGGAGGCGCTCCAGAAACCGTACCAAATTCGGGTCCTCGTCAAGGGCCGGTTTTTCCTTGGGGACTTGGGGTTGCTGCTGCCCAGCCGGGTCATTGATAGGCAGGTCGGCAGACCTTCCCCGCGTCGCATTGCCCATTTCTACATCGCCTGAATCCGGTGTCGCATGGTCCGATGGAGTCGCGGATGGGCCCGGTAGAGAAGCTGTTGACCAAGCTGGGCTCTTGAGAACCGTACTAAAAAAGTCGGGCTCGTAGTGCCTCGGGGCCCTATCGGCATCGAGCATCTCGCAGTCGGCGTCGTCTTCTGATATCGCTCTCTTTCGGTTTATAGGGCGGCTATCGGGTCGAGCAGCGGCCTCTCGATTGGCTTCACCAAGCTTGTTCACCCTCTCCTGCCATTTCTGGATCTCGGAGGGCACGACCGACCAGCCCTCCATATGGTATAGTCGTCGCCAGAGCTTCTTGTCGAGCGTAAGGGCGTGCCAGGTTCGACATGATCGCGCCACGCTTATGAGAGAAGCCGGGTCGAGAAATTCAAGGATCTTTAAGCATACTTCCGGAGGGAGATAGTGAACGAAGTCGATATAGAGCCGAGGGTTTAGGGTCTGGACGATTTCCGCAATCGCGGGTGTCGGAAGCGAGTCAAGAACGATCGAGGCGATCTCTGCAAATATTCATATTTAGCTCTGAGGTAGTAAAGGACGTTTGCGGCACCGATAAGAACCATGTGCACCTGTAGCAGTATGAAGTCAGGAGGCGCGACATGGGATATCTCGGCATCACAACACAAGACGATGTTGTGCTAGTCTCGAGAAATTCCGACTAATAATATGGGCCAGTGAAACTGGAAAGTCATCGAACTTACTCTTCTTGAGAGAAAGCGGCATTCTAGGGAGTTCCCTCGTAAGCCAGTCGGGCAAATCTGCGAGGCTAGGAGGACCCGTCATGGCCATGCCATACGAGGACAAGCTGGGGTTTAGGGGATCTTCGGAATAGCCCTCGTCGGGCTGCTGCGGCGAGAAGTTGTCCATGGTGAACTTGCCAGAGGCGTGGCTTATTGAAAACTAGGCTTGCGCAGCTTCGGGGAGGCTGCGCTCCGGGTAGGATGGAGGTCAAGAGGTGTAGGTCGGTGAGGAAGTCCGCCGATGGTCGATGTCCTACGGAAGACAACAGAAGAGACGACCTGCTGGCTTGCTGGCGTGGTTGGGTGCCAGGACAAAAGCCGAATTCGCGGACAGATCAATATAAACAGACGAACAATTCATGCCCCTAGCAAGGCTTCAGGGGAGATGGTTGCTGTCTTGAATAATTGCCTGCGGCTCACACCCCTTCGGAAACAATGCTTCGTGAATGATGATCATCTCGTTGAATCAAGGCGCAATTGTTGCTGCCTCATCGAGGGTCTGACTAATCCATCAGTTCGCCTGATTGCTCAGCTCGGAGGCTGAAATATACTTTCCTTCATGTCGCCTCCCCACCTCTTTTAATCTTGGCGCCCATCGATTGGGAGCGGCAGTGATCGATAAAATCAAGACTTCCATCTTCTTTCTTTCGAGTTTAGAGTAAGAATGGGGTTTTGAGGCCTAATACCTGATTCGCTTGAAAATGCTACACTTTCTTCAACCACACCCATTGGCACGCACCACTCAATTAAGCTTTAAACAAGTGGCTCCGCTTAGTCTTCTTGTCTTTTGCTTAGAGCTGGTGGAGTAGAATCGCATTCCTCTCCTCTCTAATCTCTTCTCTACCTGACACCCCATCCTCCATGTCGAATATTTCACTGAATAGCCACATCGATCAATGGACTGTATGTTTTCGGTGGTTGAGGAACGAGGTCTGCTGACCTAACCAATGCAAATTGCGATCAACCCCCTAAATCACGGCCGAACACAGGAGTATCATGAGCTCCAACTTCCGTCACCACAGTAAATTTGCATATTATCACCTGGCACCTTATCCCGTGCCAACCTAGCAGTTGTCATTATCGCGCATCTATAACTGTTCTCGCCCCAACCTCGGCGACTATTCGAGGACCAGAGTGTTTTGCAACATTCTCCCAATCCAGTTGACCCTATCCTTCAATCATTTGGCACCGCCGAGACTGAGGATATATCTACCTCTCTCCAGATTTGCGCACGAATATGCCCTTGACTCGGGAGGAAAGGTACCATCCGCTGCCCACAAGTCAATAAGGTATTGCATGGGCTCTAGTTCTTCAGGCTGTAGCATGCCCAGAGTAGTCGCCGTCAGGATGAAATGGCTGAAACAACTATTCAGTTGTTTCTCGAGGCCGAGATGGTAAAAGGGGTTGATGAAATGAGCCCAATAAAGATGAGCATAGACCCGGAATATCTGGCGGAATATCAATTGGCAAGTGCCTCCGAACTGGTTTGGGAATCCGCTTCGGGCACCCAACCAGGCCTCGCCGTCGATTTGGGGGACTTCGTTCGATCCTGTGGGCTGAATAGCGTAGGAAACGCCGGCGGGATCGGTAGGAAACATTGCTGGGTCATCAATCTTTCCAGAAATCCACCGTTGCATCAGCATCATATACTCATGCGCCGGAAGCTCGACGGGCTGCTGGCTCTTGTTGAGCCAAGTATACGAGTGATTTCTGTCTTCCATTAGTTATAGTTAGAGGCTTCCAAGGGAGGACCACGTACTTTCCTGCCGACATCTTGGGGCAGGTCGTAGGGTTACATATGCTGGTTCCATCATCCTCCTTCTCGTGAACAATACGGACAAAGTTCCATAAATTTCGGTAGTGCTCAACCGCTAGGGACCATCAGAAAACTAGTCACTATAATCTTAGATTGCCTGGCATTTACCTTGATGCGCTATCCATTCGCCTTGCTCAACAACCTTAGGCCGAGCGCTGAGGGTCATGAAGTTGCCCTTGACGATGTGCTTGGCGTAGGCGGTATTGAGCCACATTGGGAGGGGTCGAGGGTAATCGAGAGTCAGAGGCGACGCCATTCCCATAGACTCAGTAAGTGACGGCGACTCCGGTAATGAAACCCGAGGCACCGGTGTCTGAGATCGGGATTGACTCTCATGCCACACTGGCGGGACCTCGTTAGTAGAGGCTGTTGGGCTTTTGTTCACCGGCGCCCCTGTCTTTGAGGAGGTGCCTCGTAGGCGGGCATTACTACGGGGAGGAATAAGTTGGGGAAGTCCTACAAATGCTTCGTGGTAGTTATCGTAGACTCACATTCCAGAAAATAGATTGGACATGGTTGGAGGCGTTGGGGGGTTTGAGAACAATGAAGCGGTGCGAATTTATGAGCAACGAAAGGGAGAGGTGGGGAAGGCAGGCAGGGAAAAATAGGGAATTGATGGCTCAGGTGGTGTCCGTCATGTCGTGTAACAGTAAACCACCGACTGCCGTGTGCTCCCAGGCTGCTTCCCATTGCCGCTTCGCCCATCACTCGCCCTGGCATAAATTCTTGATTGTTGTCCAGCATATATTGATGGACAAATAATAGAAAAAGATCACGGTTTGAGGTTTGATGGCCTTGTGGCGGCTTCGAGGCTCACCTATACCCTGTATTCCGTGTGCAGGATTTGACACTGCCCGCCTTAGTAAGTGGCCAATATTTTGATGTTCCTTCGTTGCTTGAAAGTTGGTCAGGTAGTTTACATGGGGCCAGGCTTGAGAAGGGCAATGTACCGAGGTACACCGCATGAAGAAATTACGAAATAGCTCCAGCCACGCATATTTAACCTACGTCCACGCCGCAATTCCGATCACAAACCCGTAGCCGAACGGAGCCATGTTAATTGTGTGGCATCAGAATTCCAATTGATATACGAAGTATGAAAAGACCCGTTCTACAGTGGAGCTTTGGTAGTTTCAGGATGAAGAAGCGGATGCCCTGGGCTAGGTTTGACCCCCTTTACAAAGTAGTTCCTCTTTGTTCCAGGTTCCTTCCGGACGTTGGAACAAAAGATACCCCAAACGTCAAGTTCGAGAATCATGCTCAGTGCTAGACGACGTCTTCTTGCTTCGAGATACCAAAGCCTAATTGGAAAGCCCTTCAGTAAGCGGGGACCTGCCCTTAGACAAGCCTTGACTTCGCAACCCCCAGCGAGCTAGCCTTACCCTCTCAACCCCCCTCCCCCCACCCCCAAAGAACCCCAACAGCCCGACTACCGAGCCCCACACCCACCGGAGCCCCACGCCTAGCTTCACGACAATCCCAGAAAGGACGGATACCGGCCGCCGGTAGACTAAGCCCGCATGCGCATCAAGGAAAATTAAGTCCCCCGTCAGGATAACACACCCGGAACGGTTTATCCTGGCGCTCTATACGGCGCCGGCGGTCATCAACCTAAGCGCGAGGAAATTGCTATTCTTTATGGTTACCGCCAATTGTTCCTCGGACCAGCTTCACAATCTCTCCCATGATAAAACCTTCCAAAGTAACACCCTTAAACGTTATAGATTTACAACAGCCCTCATTCCCTCATTCTTGTCTACACGTTCCGCCAAGGGTTTCACACAAAGCGTAGAGTTGTGAAGCGATCGTCGATTGAAGCTCATTGTGTAGAGCTGATACATGTGCCAAATACCTCAAGTCCACCCCCAACTTAGAAAACATTCTCCAAATCAGGTCCAGCCCGACACTGCCTCGCCTCCCCCTGCAGAAAATCGATCCTAATCCCAAAGAAAGCAAAAGATAGAAACAAAAGCAAGACAAAGGAAGCAACCCCTTCGCGCAATTCCATCTCATTGTTTGGAGATCCGACACCTCAAGCGAACATGATGGGCCCAGCCCGACAAGTCCCACCCGGCGAACAAGAACCACCTTGACCTCTTAGAATTGACCCCAAGAGGCCAAAACTCACATTTAAACCTGGACGTATTCAAGGTGCGTTCGAACTGTGCACAATACCCAGTCGCTCCTTCTGCCAGAACCTTGGCATATCATGCAAGGTCTGTAGCCACGTTCACAGTCCCTGTGGCCGCGGAATTCCGCGATACCAAGTGCAGGTGTGGCATTGCTGCTCTTTTGCGCAACTGATCCATCTGCGTATCCAGCCCCCCCCCGGGGCGAACCCATCTGCCACACTTAGAGCACATTTCCTGAAGCATGGTGAAGTTAAAGTTGTGACCGTCACAATCCCGTACTACCTACTGGTAGCCCTCTCCCACCTCTCTCGATCCGTCCCCTCCCAACTCGGGCTTCCACCACAGTCTCAGCCTCCACTTAACTTTCGACTTTTGTCAACCTTCGCTGATTAAAATCTAGGCTGCCGTCACTAGGAGGCGGTTCTCCCCCAAGCCAGTGGCCCCAAGTACAGAGGCCCCCCTAAACCCTGTGGGTAGATGCGCTAGCAAGCTCTATTGAGCCTGTCCCTGGAGACTTTCCGTACCCACCGCAGACGACAAGAACCACCTCGGGAAAGTCCAAGGGCTCCTGAGGTATTCTAGGATTATCGCCGTCGGTATGGAGAGCCTCAGGGCGATGTTCGCAAAGCATGACCCTCAAGCTCAGGTAGGTCTGCCCTTCAGCTCCGTCGGTCTTAACTGTAGTACGTGCCATCCTTGCCTCTAGAAACGGACTCAGTGAATTGAATCCTATAACACCACTACTGTATAATCCACCCTGTCTGAAAAGCGCGAAATCGACCGAGCTGCTTAATAGCCTCAACCCGCTTCTCATCCCACAACGCAAGCCCAGCCTCCCTCCATAGCTCTAATGAGAAGTATCTCTTATTACATTCCTCCTCATCCAGCGTTTGTTCCCAGGAATTAGGTTCCGCAAGCCCATATCCGAACCAGTTCACATTGAGCCGATCTAGCGCGTCAACCCAACCGAACGGGGGTAGGTTTACTGCGTCTCCGATGAAATTAACCACCGCGTCGCCACTTCCCTCCTGTGGCTGCTGCTCATCCTGTTGCTGTAGCTGCTGCCGGGGCTTGTCTCTCGCTGGGTCCGGGAAGTTGATCAACCGTTGTGACTGCCAGGCGAAAGTGAGGCAGATCAGAGGATATCGCTGTAGAAACGAGATGTGCACTGGAATTATATCTAGAGCGTCTTGTTCGCTCCGCGGTGGCGGCGATGGCCGTGGGCGGAGTGCAGCATCTGCGATACTTGGGTGCTCTTGCATGTACGTTACGAGACAGTCTATATGTGAGAAAATCTCGCCGAACTCGGCCTCGTTCATCGGCTCCCTTGCCTCCTCTCTGACAAGGCAGAGCGATGCGCAGAACTGCGTGATGAAGTAGTTGACATGGTCAACTTGCTGCAATTCCCAGGGTTCGAAGGCAGCGAAGAGACCTAGGCGCACGCCTTGATGCTCGGTGGTATTACCAATAGCTGCGGTGTCGTTGTTCGACCACCGAGGTTCGCGCCTCGTTGGAGCCCAGGCATTGCAGACGATCTGGCGCCGGTAAAAAGCCCGTAGCACCCGCTGCCGCTCCACGTGTGAGGGTGGAGCTGCGGCCGGCCCTTCGCCACCAAATGAACGCAACTGCTTCGTGAGGTAGACGCTTGCGATGAAATTCATTTTGTGGAGCGTGCGACAGAGCTGGGTCAGCTCAGAAAAACTCGGGATGTTCCCACCAACTCCTCCTCCTCCTCCACGGTAGCTGCTTCCCAACATGCGCCTGTACACGGCAGCCATGGTGTGAATCTCATCCCAATACACTCGATGATTTTCCGGGTTTTTGTAAGGAAATAGGCAGAGGAACCTGGCATCCGTCAAAACGGGACCGAGCTCATTTTGTAGGACACGTAAAATAATGGGCCGTTCTCGCCCTTTGAAGCGCTGATGGACGAAACGGGAGGTAGTGACGAAGTTGCCGAGTGCGCGTACCGAGTCTAAATGGAACAAGATATTGTCGTAGATCTCGGGTGAGAGAGCGCCGAGATGGCAACCATTTTCTTTGTCGGCCATCTGAGGATATCCTTCCAGGAAAGATTTGGCCTACGGCTGTACTCCTGCATTTGGCTTGTTGATGGGAATGGTGGCTCGTCGTGCCTTGATGAATTGATCTCTTTGTTGATCTTTGCGGAGGTTGAGGAGCAAGCGCCTAATTGGGTGCTGAAATCAAACTTGCGGAAACATTGATGACATCAATGACAGTCAATCGGTGCTCTTTAGCTCAGGTACAGCCCCAATACGCATACGCGCTACGCAGCCACCCTGGCAGGCGCGAAGTCCCGTCAAAGCCCACTAACCAGTGCGTTGATGGGGTACTCTAGGCTGTCTTCGTGGAACCTTCACTTGCAAGCCCGCTGTCACACTCGGACGAGACTGGAAGCGGACCCTGGGAGACTGTATCTCACATTACATCAATATCTGGTTTCGACATGCCTTCACGCTATACCTGTGTGCATGAATACTACTCGGAACCAAGCTGGCGCCATTTTCAGTTTGGATTTGTCTGTTGTTCTGTCTTGCCTATCTTGCTGGGGATGGATCCAAGAGCAATCGAAAAGAATCAGCCTCGACTCGAAGGCGCAAAGCGGGCAAAGATGTTGAGAGGAAGCCGTCCCACAGCCCACAAAGGATGCATACGTAACCGGATATTTAGATATCAGCGAGAGGAACCCCGACTGTAATCGATGATGCCCCTTCGTTGGGGTAGCTAGCTGTGTAACGCCTGCTGTATCTCGAGTTGCACTTTTCTTCGTATTCCGGCACACACCGCGCATGCATGTACGGTAATAAAGGGAGGGTAACGGCCTGCTGCGCAAAATAGATTGGCATCTGGACTGTAATTACAAAGGTAGTGACCGACCTCTTCCTTCAGCTGTACTTCGTGTGCCCGAAGCTGGCACGGCGTCAGGGGTAGCTGTCAAGGGCGGCATATTAGTCCAGATTAGGTCTCCGGGTTATTACTTCGGTGACCGGATTATTACACCTGATACCTGTTCCCGTTCACCCAGATGTTCCCGGCAACAGGTATTTGTATTTCTTGATCAAGAAGCCCGGTCAATGTATCGAGTATGGTTTGGCAATTTCATTCCGCGGAGAATTTCTGTTTGACATCAAGTTCAACTCTTCTTACCGTGGAGATTGATCTTACTTTTCAAGGCGGGATTTGATGCCTTATCCTGGGGCATAATCATATTCCTTCGGGGCCGAATCCTTTGTTAGTTCAGATATTTTTGTACTCCGTACACGCCTCAATGTTGTATTCCATCACTGATTCTGGAAGGACAAGGGATCAGTGACATGATGATCGTCATGACCGCTCCCTATGTCATGGAGAATCTCGATCCCATTCGGGTCTAGCGTTTCCGTATGGCTAATGTGAAACAGATAGCGTCCCTCCTCATTAATGCCCCGACAGGCAGTTAAGTTCCCACGATCCAAGGAGACAGACCCGCATGGTCTCGGAGGCATTCTTCGCAGTAGTGTTGTCGAACACGAAGCAATAATAAGTACGCGACTTGTCACCAACCATCTGCCAACGCGACTAGAGACGAAGTCATAATCTTACTTCGTGCTCCTTATCATTAGCTCCTCTTATCCAACGTGGCTGCCAAGCACGAATCTCGAGGGAAAACTAGTTTCCTTTGGTAAATTAGTAGTAAATTAGTACTCTACTTCGTATGATCCATGCAGACGACCGTGGGCACGAGGGACAGCAAAACATGGCTAGTTACTGAGGTACTGTGTTCCACAAATTGTCCTAGTGATTCCCTCGAACAATTCTGGAAGCCGCCTCTCATCCTTGGCGCGAACCTTGAGGATATCCGCACCTTGACGTGCTTGGCCATCATCAGGATAGCTCAAAATTATCCATGCAATGAAGATCTCTGCTGCAACTTTAAGCTTACCCCAAAGTGAGAAATAAGCTCTCGCCCGCTAATTAGAGGACGTTTATTCTTGTGAAGTGGCAATGGAAAAGAAAAAAATTGTGATGATGCCACCGCGGCCAGGTCCGAGTAGGCCGTCACGTGATGAGCACTGGCTCTCGTGGAGAGGTCAAGTCGCCCCTGGAGGTTGCAGTTGTGACAGAGACTAGAGCTAAGGCCTACTTCGGACACTGTCAGAAAGTACACAGTATTCCAATGAACAATTATAAGGGCCAACTTTCTTCTAGAAGGTCTGACTCGCTCCTGCATCTGAGCTGTTGATAGCCCGGTCTCTTTCTGACAATTAGTTTGATATTTTTCTCTTCTCTGAATGATATTATGCTACTGATTCTTCGGAGCATACAAATTCCAGATGGAGCAGGGACGGAAAATTGCAAGATGCCGTCAATTTGTCTAATAACCGAATGCGCCTTTCGAGACAACAGGGCTGAGATTGAGAATGAGTGATCGATGCATCAATGGAATCACACAGGACTTGATTCCCTTGCGAAGGGCGGGAATTTGAACACTGTGTACGAAGTACTTGTATTTCTAGACATTACCTCCAGGCTTAATTAGCCATGAATGGAGTATATGTATTGTGTACAAGTTTTACTCCCGAATGTATGAAGTAGTAGTATTGATACTTCGAACCCTTCGTCCTTCATTGACTCGTTTGGCCTTTGGACCCTTTTACCTCGAAGGGGAATGAATGGTTGGCACGTGCGGATGGCACTACCCCTAATTCTCAGAGAGGAAACGAACTGGTGAGGGCTATGGTCTACTTCGTAGGTGCACTTGGACACTTCGAAGCACGAAGTACTCTAAGTGCCTCTCACTCATCAGGGGTTCCTGCCTGGGAGACCTTTGGTACTTTCCCAGCAATCAGTGTTCGCGGAAGAGTGGAGGCGATTAGTTCGCAGTACCTGTCCACTACAAGTACAACTGTCAAGATCCTCCCCAGTGTAGAGGCTCAACTCCAGCATAAAGAATTGACCTCCCACGGTACACAGTACATTGACAAATCCCATACGGAGTACCCAGCACGTCTGTCCACTTTGGAAGCTGGGGTCTCTCGATGCTGCCCCCCCTCCTTCTGTCAACGGCACCCACCATTCCGTCGTGTTGAACTTCCATCCTCGTTTCGAATCACTGCAAAGTCGCATGCAAACTGGCAACAACCTCTTGGAGGAAGCCGTCCATTTTTCCATCGTCAAACACTGCGATGATAATTCCACATCTTACTTTCTGTTCTCCACATTAAACTCTTCATCTTTAACTGTGACTTTGTGTGAACTTGCCTTGGTCGTCTTGTCGAGCGCTGTATGGTACCGTATCGGAGCATACCGCTCTACCCAACCACCCGCCACCACCAACCCGCCGCCTTCGCTAAATCGCCTGCCCCCTCTCTCGCTCTAATTTCTCTTTGACAACTTTCCACTTCCATTCATCACACGAATCCGCACATCTTCGCCGACAGCCTTGCTGTGAGACAGTTTTCGACAGGCATAGACCCGATCCTCGCCGCTTTCCCGTCGATTCCGCCGCCGATTCGATTCGCGCACCGAGATTACCACGGTATTCCCCTCTTTTTGGCTGGGGGCTTTTTTTTTCGACCTTTTTTATTGTTTCTTTTTTCCGACCAGCCGCTATAACCTGCGAGTGCGAAACGACCGTGGTAGTGACAAAGAGAGAGAGCTCTATTGAAAATTCGAATAGACGTCCAGGTCTGGTCTCCATGCGATTTTGACGCCGTGACTCGGATGTTTCCCCTGAAAGGGATACTCTTTGTTCGCCGATAGTTGGACCTCTCACCGCTTACCCGATTTCGGTGGATCGCTAATTCGACACCAACCTTGTCGACGACGCCAACCGCCTGACCTCCTCGCTGTCCCGTAATCTCCTCTCGCCATGGATGTTATGGCCCATGCCCCCCTAATACGGAACAACACAACCCCAATCTTTAAGAGAGATCGAGATAAGGAGGGCATCCCTGCCGGCACCATGAGCAGTGCACCGCGCGGCAGCCAACTTTCAGGCTCGACCGCTTTCAACAGCTCCACCCAATCTCTCAACTCCCTCTCCAGCGCCCAAACAGTAGTAACACCAATGAGCAGTGCCGGCGGCCCAGTCGTCGCCACCGCGAACATTATCAACCAGAAGGCCGATGCGTCGAGGTCGCTGTATCAAATCTGCATCTCCTTGCGCCAAAGACTCAGCCAAGTCCCTGGTTTCGAAGTTTACCTCGAACAAGTCGACGCCAATGACCCGGTGGACTCGCTATGGAACCTGTTTCGGACAGGAGTGCCGTTTCTCGCCATCTTTAACGTACTGCAACCCGCCGAACCGATCGGTGTGGACGAAGGAAAGACTGCGGCTAAAAATAAGCCTAAGATTGCCGTGTTCAAATTCGTGGAGGCCTGCCTTAAGGAACTAAATATTTCCTCTGCGGATTGCTTCGTTATTAACGATGTCCTGGGCAACGATACCAGCGGCTTTGTAAAGGCATGTTCACGACCCTTAGCTCCCGAGCCCGGGAGGGCCAAAACACCCTCATCCCATAACCCCTTGACCGCCTGGTTGGCCTGTTTTCCTTCCTTCCTTTTACTCTCCTGTGTACCACTCTTTCTTTCGTTTCTTCTTTTAACTAACGTGAATATCATAGGTTACACAAGTTGTAAACTATGTCCTCGATATTGCCGAGCAACGCGGCTTATTGCTTCAGGCCCAGCCTTATCCCGATGAAAATGTTATGGACCAGACGGCTGGCTCGCAGATGAGCTATAGAGACCACATCATCAAGGAGTTAGTCGATACCGAACGGAAATACGTACAGGACCTCGAGAACCTACATGATCTAAAGAAGACCCTGGAGCAGAAGGGTGTTGTGCCTGGAGATGTCCTCCACCAAATCTTTCTCAACATCAATGCGATTCTCGATTTCCAAAGGCGATTTCTTATCCGTGTCGAGACGACCAACTCCATGCCAGCCAACAATCAGCGGTGGGGTAGCCCCTTTGTGACTTTTGAGGACGCGTTCGACATCTACACTCCGTTTATCGCGAACCAGAGAAAGGCAGCCCAGACCGCCAACTTAGTCTTTGATAAGATTCAAGCGGCAGAGCATCCGGTTGCCGTAGATTTCAATACGCTTGACGGCTTCCTGCTGAAACCGATGCAGCGACTTGTGAAGTACCCTCTTTTGTTAAAGGTACGTCACCCTGCGTTTTAGAATACCTATCCTGGAAATCCCGAGCTTCGCCTCGCTAACTTTGCTACTGCAGGACTTGTGCAAGAAGTCGGAAGATGAAGCTACGAAGCAAGACCTTACTCTTGGTAAAGAAGCGGCTGAGCGAGTCTTGACCAAGGCTAACGAGGCTGTCAATCGTGATCTCCTCGACGAAGCTATGGAAGACCTGAAGACAAGAGTTGACGATTGGCGGAGCCATCGTATCGAACAATTCGGAAACCTTCTTCTCCATGGTGTCTATACAGTTGTAACCGGTAGGACTGAGCAAGAGAAGGATGTAAGTGCACTTTCTCCCCCAGTTGGGATTGACCTCTGGTTCTAATGCTAACCCTGCTCTAGTATGAAATTTATCTCTTCCAGTACATCCTACTGTGCTGTAAGGAAGCATCGGCGTCTAAATCCAAGGATAAGAAGGACAAGACAAGGTCCACTGGTCCCAAGGTTCGCAATAAGAATGCGAAACTGCAACTGAAGGGGAGAATCTTTATGACCAATGTCACCGAGGTAGTCACCTTGGCAAAGCAAGGTACATCGCTCCCCGAGGCCCATCGTCTCTTCACGTAACTAATACATCTTAATAGGCTCCTACAGCATCCAGATCTGGTGGAAGGGTGACCCTGGCGTTGAGAACTTTACGATCAAGTTCTCCAACGAAGAAATGATGAAAAAATGGGCTGCCGGCCTCGAAGCGCAAAGGAAGGCTAATTCTCTTCCCAAGTCGACCTCTAGTCCCGACATAGCCGCCCCCGAATTTACTTGGATGAAATCGCAAGGCCTCAACACGCTGGAGAACCCGTATAAAGAACAGGATCAGGACGACGACGAAGATTATGGTGCCCCTGGCTCGGGGCCACCGTACGGTGTCACTTCCTCTACCGGTGGCACGATGCTTCCTCGAAATGCTTCGAATACAAGCCTGCGACAGCGATCCGCGACGGGTGATAGCTCACAGTCACTTGCAGGAATTGCCCGCGCGCCACCGCCGCGGTATCCTTTGCCCACCCCGCCGGCTCCTCTAAGCCTTCAAACTCAACTGTCGAGCCGCGGTGCGCCTTCGCCCGGTGAGCACCTTGGTGATTCCTACTTCTCGCCAATTGCAGACTCGCCAGTTTCTTCCAGGACCAGCACCACCAGTGGTATGATGAGCACACCCGGCTACCCCTTCCCCAAGACAACCACACCACAGCCGCCTTGGGAGGATACCACAAATCGATACACTGCACCTGCGATGCCTCGTGCACCGTCGAGGGACGGATCGTCGCCGAATGCATACGGTAGGGGCACTCGGGGACCTTCTCTTCCAGGCATGCCACCTAGCGCAGCGCAGCAACAACGTAGCCGGTCGTACAGTACACCCGATATTAATGGCCAACAAACCATGAGGCGCAACACAGCCGGCGTTGGCCCCTCATCCGGCATACCTGCGGTGCCTGGCATCCCCGCCCATCTTCATCACGACACCTCTATCCCTAGATCCCAGAGTGGATCTCCTCGAATGGATCTCCCCGTTAGGGCGAATACCCAAAGCCCAGGCGTTCAGCGCGAGCGTATGCATCAGCCATCTGGGAGCATTGGTGGTACGATGACCCATTTCCCAGCCCACCCAGTTTATCCTCGCCAGACAACCCCTGGGCCCGCTCCTGGCCAAATGCCCATGGCAATGGACCCCTCAGGCCGAACAGTCTCTCCTCCTCCGCACATGATGAACAACGCGTTTGGCATCAACGAGATGCCCTTGCCCACCCAGTTGAAGGTCAAGGTCAACTGCGAGGGCGGGACATATTTTACTCTTGTGGTGGCCTTCAATATCACCTACCAAACTCTTATCGACCGCATCGACGCCAAACTTGCGAGGTTCACGAGCAGCAGCATTGGTAAGGGCTTGCTGAAGCTCAGGTACCGAGACGAGGACGGCGATTATGTTAGCATTGAGAGCGACGACGACATCCAGATCGCCTTCCTCGAGTGGCGTGAGGGAATGCGTAACATGTACGCCACAGGCGTTGGAGAAATCGAGCTCTTTTGCGTTGGCGATACGCCCGCGTGAATCATCTCCACCAACGGCAATGCGTGGTGACACCACGCAATGAGTGCACTACCCTTATCATATATTCAGAGAGCATCATCATTCGAATACCATAGGAGCATTGGTTGCGTGCATGTTTTTGGCGTCTCGGCGGGAGTATTCCTCGGATCTCCATTCATTCCCTTCTTCTCTTTTCTCTTCTTCTCCTCCTCTTTTTGTCAAGGTTCATGACGCCGATCCTTGAACAGTTACAGAAGTTTAACCTGCTGCCGGCTTAGTTGCAGGTGTTTCGATATGGGCCGCTAACATATACCACGACATGTCGCACATGATACCACTTTCTTTCTTTTTTTATTTGCGAAGATTCAGCGCTTCTGCTCTCCCTCTCTCTCCCTCTCTTATCTCGAGGTGATTTGGCACAAAAATATAATGGGTGCCTCCCCCCTTTTTGCCCCGAAATAGAACTTGCGCAGCCTCTCCGGCCTCTTTGGAATTAATACCCGCTTTATCGAATTTCTTTCTTCTTCATTTATTGCATTTCCTATTACTTCCGCGCCATGTGGTAGGTGGTGGATGGCGGATACCGGATACACGGGACCTTGGGCCTTTCTCGGTCCGAGCACCTCGTCATGGACAGCCATTCGACCTGTCCGGCAAAGGGATGCATTCCCCTCCTTGTACAAGAGAGCATGGTCCTAGGATGGGAAATGGTTGCCGCCCTAGGGGAAAGCTGAGATGCGCGAAGGAGGCAGTGGGTAATGCACTTTTATAGCTTCTGGAAGATTCGGGCTTCAACATATATCCGTTTTGCCTTTATTTCTCTTGAGAATGGTGTGGGCGGGTTTCCGGATGTTCTTGGTTTTTTCGTTGACTTTATTGCAGATTTGTTCTTCTGGTCCTGTATTTCGTGGTAGATACCTAGTATAGGAATGAGAATTGTCGAGCTTGTGTTTTTCGTGTTGCCGTTACTGTCTTCTGGCATCGAGAGAGCTCAAACCCCGACCACTTCCTTGTGCGAGAGATATGGCGGTGGGCCTAAACCCCTGGGTTGCAAACTTTGTGGTTCAGTCAAGATTCCGCGAAGAGGACATCGGTAGTGATAGTGAAGAACCCATGTATTTTAACACCGTCTATGAGAAGACATAACTGATTGTACAACATATATCAGGTACAAGCCCGGCCTCAATATCCGGGGTTCGCTCATCCGCCATCATCGCATCGCCGACCGCGCTCACCCATTCGTCAGGGTAACCGTAGCCTCGTGCTCTTCAGCAGGGCCCCAATTTGCGACCAATTGTATCCAGCCCATCGTATAGCCGATGATAAATGCATCGCCACTACTCCAGTAGCTTCTGCTCCAAATTTCACTGTAGTCCCTGCGGGAGATCTCGCCAAAGTTTTTCGGGCCTCTCGTCTAGCTGCTCTTCGTGGTTCCGGTGAACCTCTTCTGGAATCGCGACAGGTGATAGTTGATGTTGCTCTTAGGGAGGGGGGGCGGCCTCTTCGCGTCCATGCACGTCCGTAGTTGTTGCTCGATGATGGCGCATCCGGCGGTGTTGTACCCAGAGGAAGCCCAGCAAGCTAGTTGATGGTCAGCTAAAACAGGTTTGTCCGTTGCCAATTGCATTTGCGAGGCCCCTTGTGTTCCCCAAATTCCGAGCCTCGAGGGGTTTTGAAATGCATGAGAGGTTCAATCAATTCACAAACCTAATAGAGATGCCATCACTCGTACGCAGGGATTCTCCTGCTTGGGATTGGGGTTCTTGACGCGGAGTCGGTTGAGCGTGGGAAGCCGGATGGGCTTTTGCCCGGCCATTTTGGGCGGCGCTTCGTTTAAGGAAAGCGCGAAAGGGTTTGGATTCGGGGCACGCGAGTGGTGATACTAGAGGGCGTCGACGGCGTAGCTCGGAGGGGAGGTCGTCATGCCCTTGTTTGGCCCGTTAAATTTTTTGAGATCGCTGCTCTATGGAGATGCACGCGATTACTGGCTTTGGGAAGTATCTATCCATGATCAGTCTATTTAGGTCACGTGCGATAAGAAGGCGGTGAGAGTTTATCTCGGTGGCTCTCGATTCAGGGACCAAGATTTGACGGGCAGAAACAACGATTGAATGACACTCGGAAGGTCAGCTCCCCAGAGCTCAGACGAGGCAAGGAGCAATCTGGTCCCTGAATAGAACGGGATCTAATAACATCTTATTAACCTCGTAGATTTAATACATAAGAAGCAGATCTAATTTTGTCGAAAAGAACTGAATGGGCGTATCATACTTTCTTGAGAGGACATGAAGAAGGCAGGCTCGACTCTGTATCTGTGTACCTGACTACTTAGTAGCGGTGTCCAAACTCGGCAGGCGGTATCTTAGGTGACTGTACCAGTACAAATCCGCGTTTGATTTCGCAACACAACAATACGTATGGTAACTCATGTGGGAAAGTCACTCTACGCGCGTCGTGGGATGGGGAATTTTCGGCCAATCAATCTAGCAGACTCCACACACCTTGAGAGCAGCTTCCGTTTCCGCCCCTCCACCGTCCCCATGTAAACAAGACTTCTGAGCTCTCTTCAAGTATTTCCTTTCCATCGATCTCAGATCTCACCCATCTCTAACTCTTTTTCAACCACTTTTCCTCGTATTACACTCAAGGAAAAATTACCTATTTTTCAAAAGTTTTCTACTTCCATTCTACCGTCTCTCTTCTTAATCACCTTTCATCATTTTGGTAATCCTCTCTTTCAGGTAACCAAACATCCGTCTTGGTGATCATATCCGCCTTCTGAAGCGCGTCAACAAAGCACCATCGCGACTAGCCAAGCTCATCTTCGCGACTTTGGACTTTGTCGGCGCCCCATATCTTTCTCTATTCCTATATTCCAACATTTTCCCGTACCCAACCGCCTTGTTTGGAACGATTTCGAACAAAAAATGGCGTTCCAACCAATCTCATCGATGTACGCGACTTTTCACAGCTTCCAAGTGTTTAAAAGGTTTTCCCTACTAACAACTCGATAGCGTCGATGCTATTCAGACGAGCCCTATGGGCAGTCTGCCCGCGGATGAAGCTTGGCTCCACAACAATGGCCGAATCACCGCCTATCTGTACGCGTCTCCTTTCCCAATTGCTAGCCGTTCATCACACGGTGTTCTCTCCTCGTGGCTGCCCACCGAGCTTGGCTCCTAGCGACGCTTTGCTAACCTGTCCTGTTTTTCAACAGATTTTATCCACAAAACCCTTTTGCCTACGATCCGACCCAGCGAAGGCTGCAGGCCTGGGACAGAGCCACAGTCCCTTCTCGACGATCCGGCAAGCGAATTGGAAAGCGAACCGATCGAATCCACATCTCCTTGCGTCTTCCCATAACCACCAATGGCCATTTTGCCAAGAAGCGTTGCACCCAACCTGAGATCCTCCGGGACCGAGTTACGGACCACGAATATCTCGAGACCGGTGTGGAATATGCAGGCTTCTGGGACCAGCTCAGTGCCCAAGGTTTGTCAATTACAATCTTCTTATTATTCGGTTCCTCACTAACCGTATGCTAGTTCACACCCGAAACAACCTGTTTATCGACAAGGTTTTGCCTATTCAGGAAGATGGCGCCGCGTCCCTTATCCGACGGAAACGCCATCTCGAGCCCTCCGGCTACGAACTAGAGCCAGTGGCCGCTCTTGAACCATCTCTCTTGACCAGCCTTCAGGCAATGTCGACCATCCTCGGCAAGACACTTACCGTCTCGTTGATGGTTGAGATGCTCTGCGTGAAGCTTGGTCGAGAACTCAATCCGACGGTTCCAATCAAGCTTAAGGTCCGTGGACAACCCCGTCTCTCAACCATTTTGGAAGAAGCAGAACCCCAGACGCCAAGCTCGGCCCAATCGGGAAGCATCTCCCTCTGGTCCCCAGTTAAGAAAATCGCCGACTCGATTAAATGGGGCATCGGAAAGCTTTCTCCTTCTCCCTCTCCCTCGAAAGAGAACCAGTTACCCGACAGCCGTCCTCTATCTCTCTCACCTCCTTCCGATTCTCTCACCAAAAAGGAGACATCTTCTACATCCGCTAGTACACCCGTTCATGTTTTCACGAATGGAGGCGCATTAAGCATTAACCCCTCTGGAGACACGCGCCACACCGAGTCATCCAGCCTCCGCTCTAGGTCTGGAGAGGAAGACGGGTCCGACATGAGCGCTACTTTCGGAGATTCGATGGTGCAGCAGCTGAAGTACCGTGACTTGAGAAGCGTTAGGTTTGACTTTTCCGAGCGGACTGACAGCTTCCAACTGCTCGACTCGAATGAGACTTCCCCGATGATCGTCGACACAAAAACCAACTTGGACATTTTCAATCGGAAATCCTTCGCCGTTGCCCAGAGTTTGGCTAAGGTCGCGGAACAAATTTCACACGGATCTGTCGATGCGAAGGTTGTGGTAGAGAGGGAAGGTTCGCGTCTCTTTGTGAGGTTCAAGATGCCCGCCAGATTCGCTGCCTTTTTCCCTCAGTCGAACCTCCCAGGCACACCTATCCACGACGATACCGACGCTACAATTGGTGATGAACCCGAATCCCCACTCGATCGCAAGACATCGAAGCGTCCTATGATCAATGGCGGCCGTGAAGTGGTAGGTTGGGCAACATCGCCAAATGATTCTAGCACATTGTTGGCTACTCCTCGCGTCTCGGTAAGCGGGGCTGAAAGCGTTGAAGGCACACCCCTGGAGGACGTCTCATTCTTGTCGACAAATACGGATGAATTGATTGCTGGGTTGCCTGATACGCCGACGACTATCGTCCTCGGTGGCGAGGGTGGTTTCGTTTCTCCTGGCTTTCATGTGGCTCCTGAACTACTTGAGGACAGCCCTATCAAGGCCGAGAAGAGTCTTGAGGCTGTTAGCCCTTCGACTGATTTCAATAAGTCCATCAATGAGGTTCCTCAAACTCCAGCGAAATTCACACGCAGGCCTGATTTCACACCCCGCTTCTCCCTGAACCGACCTGCCGATCCTAGTCCCCTTCGACAAGTCCAGAATGCTGAAGACGTTGAAACCGAGGATGAATCTTTCATGTCGACCAATACAGATGAACTCGTGAACGACCTCCCAAATACCCCTACTGCGATTGTTCTCAACTCTGAATGGAACACGCCTAGATACAACATTAATGGCCAGAACTCTCCCAAGCCAGAATCCGAACAAGGTGATGGACATTCCTTCTTCGACATGGACACAGAGGAGCTCAAAGAAGTCATGGAGATGTCCATCCCTAGCATTCCGCACTCTGACAATGACGCGACGTATAACATTCACCTCAACGTCGAGACTCCAACCCAGTCCCCATCAGGAGCTTACTACACCAACTCGATCGTAGAGGATCCGACTCTTAATATCCACCTTCATCACCAGTCGTCCCCAATGCAGGAATCTGGAACGGATGAGTCGTCTTTCCTTTCAACCAATACAGACCAACTTGTTGGTGACCTTCCTGACACGCCTACTGCCGTTGTCCTAAATGCCGAATTTAATTCGCCCCGTTATAACATTGGCGCTCAAGCAGTCTCATCTCCATCTCCCCAAATCCAGACTCAGCAGCTGAAGGATACGTCATCGGTTGCTAGGAATGATGCCGAAATTATTGCCAGCCAGTCGGACACTCATCCCGAGCTTGCGCTTGGTGATCTCATGAACACTCCCCCTCGTCAGACGATCACTCAAGTAGGTCATGACGGCATTCTTATCGAAGATTCACCCTCGATCGCTCCTCATGCAGAAGTCGCCAAGTCCGCTGATCAAGCCGCGGCTCTATGTCCTCTATCCAGCCCCTCCAAGCCAGACAAGGCTACCGTCGCGCCCTTCACTGACACTGCGACCCCAACGGCCACGGTCACGCCCTCGAAGCCCACAAAACTGAGTCCCACACCGCCCACAGCTACTGCCATGGTAACCAAGACGGCCACGGTTACTCCGTCTAAGCCTACGAGGTCGAGTCCCCCGGCAACTCCTTCGGTGGAGAAGACCACACCAACAACCCCCCAATCATCGACGCCTGATTCTGCCCATGGAGCCGAGCAGAGCGTCAACGTCACTCCGTCTCCAAAAGAGAAAGCGGCTGAGAACCCCACGCCTTCTACCCCCACCGCCCATACTCCCATCGCCCATCCCGAAACCACCCCGGCCACTATCGACGCCAAGCCAATCGCCGCCCCTCTCAGGCCACAGTCACACAAGGCCTCCACTCCTACCCATGTTGCTGAAACCCCCAAGACAATGACGGCGATCCCCTCCATGTGCGCTCTGAATTCCCAAGTTTCTGAGAATGCTACTCCATTGCGGAGCAGCAGTCCTCAGAAGCAAGGGTCTTCGTTTGAGCCTGGGAAGGGTAGCTGTACCCCTCAATCCTCGCGTCTCACTCGACCAGATGACCTGGCCGAGGCTCAAGAGGCGGAGGATCGAGCCTATCTGGGGAAGTTTCTCAACCAGCACAAGGCCAGTAAGGCGGCCAAGTCGGCTGAGACTCAAGCCAGGATGGCGACGACGCTCACCGGCTCTCCCGCGCCACGCCTTCCTCTGGGACATATCGACGCTAATAGCTCGAGTCCCAAGAAGGCTGGCACCAAGCGGAAGGTGGGAGATGTCGGCGAGGCGAAGGCGGTGGATGCCGCGGAACCGCCCGCGAAGCGCACCAGGAGCAGTGGAGCTCCAAAGGTCGCGCCTTTGCGACGTTCGAGCAGGGTGAAGTCGAGGGCCCAGGAGCCCTCGCCTGACGGCAACTCCAGGATCCCGGTTAGGGTGGGATCCGGAGTTGTCGGAGGAGGGTCGGGCAGCCGAGAGGCCGACCTTGCCGCTGTTACGCGGGCTAATACCCGACGTAACAAAGGCAAGGCGCAGATGCCCGAGGAAGTCCTGGCCCGACAGCGGGAGGACCCGCACGCCCTCCGTATGCAGGAACTTAAGGAAGTCCACGATGCGAGAGTGGCGCGGGCCGGAAAGGCGGAGACGAAGAAGGCGGTTTCATGGGGCGAAGACGAGCGATTCGTCTACGAAGAAGAAGAAGAGGATGAGGAGATGATCGCGGCTCCTGCCCCGGAGCCCGTGGCGAAGGGAACTCCGGTGGCGAAGCGGCGTGTTGGTCGGCCCCAGAAGCCGGCTGCAGCCAAGTCTGCCGCCAAGTCTGCCTCTTCGGGGAGTTCGAAGTCGTCGGCCAAGGCAGCCACGCCGACGCTGACACAGTCCGCTGGCGTCAAAAAGCCTGCTGCAAAGAAGGGCCCAGTGAAGCCCAAGGTGGGTGCGGTCGCGGTGCCTACCCGAAGGCTGACCCGATCGTCGACACGATCGGGCCAGTAAGGGGCAGGCAGGCGTCGAAGGTTGACGTAGTCAACCCCGGAACGAGCCTAAGGACGACTTTCCCCAACCTTACGATGAAGGCGGTTGTCCCTCTTTTTCCTCCTCTTCCCGGCTATTCGATTTCTCAGCTCGGCGACCATGGCATCCACATCTGTGCGGGGCGACTCACAAGGCTGTATACCTCGATCTCAAGACTTCCCCTAGCACCAGAACGATAGCCCTGCCACGCAACAACTTGACAAAATTGGGCGTTCACAACGAGGACCTCTGTCTCTCAGCCCCAACAACATTCCGATGTCGACGCTTCCACACAATTACATTATATCAGCACTATCCACTTGAGAAGTTAGTCGTCGATGGGGTGGTTGGACAACATAACAAGACGGTATAGGCACCGGGCTGCTTTGAGGAATGAAGGGCTTGACAATGGTCAAGAACGTGTTTTATAGGACCGTGAAGTCGTAACGAGATTCACTCACCACACCAGTGCCTTTTTACATTGCCCCGCATCCATCGCATCGCATGGCATACCCTATTTGAGCGCATACAGCCTGGAGTTTGGTTTCGTTTAGATTTGTTTTTCTCTTTTCTGTTTCTTCTTCTTGTTTTTTCTTTCCTTTTTTCTTCTTTCTTTTTCTGGTTTTGTTTCGCTCTTGAGATGAATGAATGGATTATGGCTTGGAAGATACCCATTTTTGGTCGTGAGCGATGGACTTTGTTACGTTTTTAATGAATGGAAAGGATGTTTGATTCAGTCTTGTCTTCGTTCTGCTCATTGCTCCCTTGATGCCCTTAATGCACTATGTCTAATTCCTATCGAACCCAGGTCCTCGATACCTTATCCAGCGATCCTACTAACCTACTCTACTTGTACATGTGCTTGGTGTGTCTGATGTGCCTAATCCTCATGGCCTCGGGAGGATTCGTCGTCTACGCAAAATACGCAGCAAGCCTCTTGCAGAGCAGATGGCCGGTACCTTGAACACGAATCCAAGGTTCAAGCAGAGACCGACTCTCAACAATATAACATCCGACGATTGGATAGTTGTAAGCAAACGAGGGGCTTGTTGATCCAACCACTACCTCCCCTCTGCGCAAGACTCTGGATATTGGTTTATGGTGGGTAGCACGAGCAATGGCATGATCACTCGACCCTTCGACCGCAGCGCGACCAGCCCGTAATATTGGCAGCCTCGTTTTACGCAATATCGGGCTTGAGATGAGTGCGTGGTCTTTATTATCAGGCCTCAACCACTCACCTGTTCGTTGGGGATCTTTCAGCCTCCTACAACCGACTTCTTACTGAGCGATCCTGGAATACAGTCCTTCTCAATTCAGGTTTATTCCTATTCGCGTTAATTCCGCGAAACTCTCTGACTTTGTACTCTCTCGCCACGGCACTGCCTTTAACAAGCGCTAGCTCCCACTATCCACAGGGGAACCTTCGAGTCTACATCGACAACTCCAACCATGGATCCTAGGACAAAGGACCTGGTCCGAGAGACAAGGCTACGACGCAAGAGGGGATCCTACATGGTGCTTCGACGTCAGTCATCTGAAGACCGTCCTACTGGAAAAATCCGATCTAACCGATGAACAAAAAACCTTCACCCTGAACGTCAATCTGTACGGGTCGAAGCCCCCGCCAGTGGACACCGTCTGGAGAGCAATCGAGTCGCACGATGTGAAAGTGAACACTTCTCTGCGGAGTAAGTGGACAGGACGTGAGAAGGAGGTGGACGGCAAGATAATTGGGGATTCTATTGACGACATGTGGAAGGATCTATCTGCTTCAAGGGCTAGTGTGTTCATCATTGTCTCTGGAGACAGAGATCTTGACGTTGCAGTGCAGAAAATCACAGAAAATGGATTTCGGGTGCACATTTGGTCTTGGGACATTGGACTTGCCGCAGTATATAAGCGAAGGGAGGGTAGCGGTGTCCTAGTGCATTACCTCGACAATTTCATCAACAGAATTGGACTCAACCATACCGTCTTCCGTATCGACCGGAATGCGATCGACCTACACAGCCTCGTCGTTATGGATGCGCTATCCGAGGCCGACGGATCGAGGCATTTCGTCCCGTTTACGGTTCCCGACCTATAGCTACATCACGGGCAATAACCGCCAGGACCTAGTCCTCATCCCAGTTTGGGCGAAGGTGCTCAGCTCGGATGAAAAGACGGAATTGTTTTTCAAAGCGAAGGAGTCTTTTCGGACGTATGGGCTTCGCGTACTCCCTTATCTGGGGTATCTTCAGCAGCACGTTTCGAGGTTCGGACGTTGTTGTGAAGACGTCAAATCGATTTCAAGAGCTGTCAGTGGGCGAAGATGGCGAAGATGATGGTGGCGGCAATAACAACGATGACGATAATGACGACAATGGATAGGCTATCGAGGATGACGGCTTTATAGCAGTCGATCACAATGCCAAGAAACACAAGGGCCGGGCAAAGACGAGCGACAAAACGCCACGCCAACGCTGCCGCTGGGGTACAAAATGCCGCAACGGACTTGATTGCTCATACGGACATACCGAAGACGAGGAGAACCATTTCAAGAGTCGCACCCACAAGAGGAAAAGCCGAAACTCATAACCGGTGCACGACGAGCGGGTGTGCCTGAGGGGCCGAATGTTGTTTACGGGCACACTGGTGTCGAGTTGCTTTGTCCTATGGGCGGGAAAGGCGGGGGCCTGTCATGAAGCGTTGCAATGCCCAGAGAGTGCGCGGAATATCAAGCACACCTAGGATTATGAAGATGGTGATGTACAGTCTCCATCTCTTCTTGTTAGATGCAACCACAGGGATTCTGTTCCCAACAGTCTTCATTGCTTCTTCGAGACAAGAGTCTTCCTTTACGTCACATACCGGTTATTTTTCAGGATGTGTCTTAAGTAGGCGGATTAATATTTGATATTATTTCTTAGGATGATGAGTGCTCTCCAGTTTTTGTGTCTTGCTCTGTTGGGGTTGTTGCGATCAGATTTACGACGAATATAAATTCAATTTGTTACATTACCACAACCGCCCCTCAACACCTCTGCTCCCCAGTTAAATCATGCCCATCATCATCATCATCATCATCTCTTCGTTATTTCCCCTCTTCCGGACCCCTCTAGGCGTATTTTCCGGAGGCCTCGAGCTGGCGACCATACTCGGTTTTCATGAGGATTTTGAGTCCACCGGGGACCTGATGCGAGAAGAACTTCTCGTAGCAATCGCCGACATTCTCGAGCTGGTCCTCAGCGGTGAACATCCATGAGGGATCGTACTTGCCGTTCAGGACAAGTTCCAAAAGCTGTGCCATGTACTAGTCACGATAATTCGTTAGTCTGCCTCCTTCTCAACATGTGCATCGTGTTCGGATTTGGCTCAACAACAAGCCGGCCATTGTTACCTTCTGCGAGAAAAGCTGGCCCCCGCGAACAGTGATGCCCTTCTCCATCATAGCCCCAATGGGAAAGTTGTTCGTCGTGAAGAAGAAATCGCCAATAAGGGCAACGTTACCCCTCTTCCTGGTCGCCTTGATGATTTCGTTGACAGCCTCGCAGCTGCCTCCCTCACCGGGACCGGACCTCGTAGCCTTGTGTTCCCCTGAAACCTCACACCTGTAGCCCACCGCGTCGATGGCGCAATCCAGACCTCGAGGTTCCTGGGAGAGGATATAACCGGCCGTAGCCTTGTGCTTGGACTCATGGACGGGGATCATGCCGAATGACTTGGCAATCTGAAGTCGCTTTTCGTCGTAGTCCATGGCGTAGACCTTCTTCGCACCACGGAGCTTGGCAAGTCGTTGGATCGAGAGGCCGACGGGACCGCAGCCCCAGACGCCGACCGTGCTGCCTTCCTTGACCTCTGCGAGTTCGCAGGCATGCCAGGCCGTAAGGGTGACGTCAGCTAAGCCGAGCACTTTCTTAGGGTCAATGTCCTTGGGGATCTTGACGCAGACGAGATCCGCATTCGGAACGCGGCAGAACTCAGCCTGGTCGCCGGGATATCCACCAAAGACCTTCGTATAGCCAAAGATACCCGCCAAGCGATGTCCGTACAAGTCGTGCATCTCATGCTTTGGATCCATCTTATCACAAAGAGAATACTCCCCCCTGTTACAATAGAAACAATCCCCGCAAGCAATGACGGGCATGATGATGACTCTATCCCCCTTTTGCAAATTACGCACCTGCGACCCGACGTCCTCGACGACGCCGATGGCCTCGTGGCCCATGATGTCGCCCTTCTCCATGCTCTTGTCGATGGAGCCCTCGTACATGTGCAGGTCGGAGCCGCAGATGGTGCAGTGGGTGACGTGGACGATGGCGTCGTCGGGGGTGGTGATGGTGGGTTTGGGGACCTCGTCGATGGAGATGTTCTTGTTGCCTTTCCAGACGGCGGCTTTCATTTTGAGGGAGGGGTGGGGTTGGTAGGCGGTTTGCATCATGGGGGCTGCCATTTTGTCGGTGTTTTGGGGTATTCTTTTGGTAGTGGATTTGGTGTTTGTATGGGCTCGGTATTGCTTTGCTGTGATCCCTACTGCAGCTGCTGAATGGTTGATACTCGAGATCAGAGGACTGCGGTTTAGGCTGGGCTGTTATATAATCGTCCTCCGGACGGGAAAGGGGAGATAGGGGTCTCCTCCCTGTCGGGATATCATAACACTTCATGAGCTTTCACCCTCGCTTTCTGGATCTCAAGTGGAGAAGAGCAAACGTGTACCCTGGAAGTTTATACCATGATGTGATGGATTTAGGGAGTTTTCCTGGGAGAGTAGGCGATTCAGGGCCGCCACTTACTCGGGGGCGAGATCCTCTGGAAGATGAGAGGCTTTGATAGCTGGACTGACATCGTCTTGATTTTTCGGATTATATGATCCATACTCCAGACCGTCGAAAAGCTTGAATCGATCAAGTCGGTTGGCCATTGATGGAGGGGGCAATACAGCTGTCATTATGAGGCACGGTTATGGGGAAGCTCCGAGCTAAAAAGATGTTGCAGGGCGGTTTTCTGGGACGCGGGTCGTATGTTTTCTAGAATGCTGAGGATTTAAATTGGGGACTTTGTTGAATCACATCAGGATTATCTCGCAATTTAAATGTAAGGGAGAGAAAGGGAAGTATGTCTGCGCTGCCATGACTTCGGGGGTTCCACAACTATGACGTTGGAGCAAGTGGGCGTAGGCTTTGACGCCATCACGACGATATATACGCTTCAAGTTGAGTTTTGTTTTTGGGGCGTGCGAGGCTCAGAAGTGAATCGTAGCGCTTGAGCTTATTTCCTTGCGCCGGATCCTTCACGTCGTGCGAGAATATATAATTTTATCCCAAGGCTAGGGGGTTTGAAAGTTTAAAAGAAAAAAAAATAGTTCTGGGCAACAGCCCCCCTTTTCAAGCTGATGAAAGGAAAAAGGAATCGAGGAATGCCGCTGTGTCGTAAAGCTATGTGTTCATCCAATTCTGGGCCGAGGAAACTCAGACAAGACCGTGTCTATTCTGGCCGTTTTGGATCGGTTCGGGCACCGTGATGCTATTCCTCGGAACCCCAAGCTCATCCAGCGCCAAAACGCTGCGCATTACCTTCTCCAGCCTCCCCTCCCGATCTTCTATCATCTTCATAGCTCTCCAAGCGACAAACCTATCTGGCCTCACAAGCACGCACCCATCCTCCTCCACCTCTCTTCTCCTCGCCCAATCGAAATACACATCCTCGCAATCCTGCTTCCAGCCGATCGAATAAGCCTTGATCTCAACCCCGACGGTCTCTGACACCACGGCAGCAGCCTTCTTCCATGCCTCGGCACCAGAAGGTCCCGTGATGAGGCAGAAACGTCCGTGTCCCGCGAGGTCAATCGTCGAGAATTGTTTCCCAGGCTCGCGCGAATTAAGCCAAGCGTGAGGAAGCCGCTTGCCGGGATACGTCCCGATCTGGTACTCCTTGACGGGATCAGCCGGCACAGGAGGCGGAGGCACTTTTTCGTCGTCCACATAGACGGCCGCGGATTGATATCGCTGATTCATCTCGACGCCAAGCCCGTGGAACTCGCTCGAGGTAATCTCGATATTCCGTTGGAACTCCTCGCGGCGACGCCGGCCCTTCTCACCGGGATCTTCGAACTCGGCGAGGATCTCGCAGCGCTTTTCAACCGACGGCTCGAGCATGCCGATGGTTTCCATCCAGGGCGTGTGGTCGCGGAGGCCCTGGTTGGCGCGGGTGATGACGTCGACGCCGACGGGCTGGCGCTCGAGGGAGAATGAGGAGAGGAGGGAGGGACCGGCTTTTCCGGACATTACGTAGGAGATCTTCCAGGCGAGGTTGAAGGCGTCTTGGATGCAGGTGTTGGAACCGAGGCCGTTGAAAGGGGGATGCCTGTGCACGGCATCGCCAAGACAGAATCTGGGTAGGTTGGTGTTTTGTTAGCAGGGTGCTGTTTCTTTCCTTCCTGAGCGGAAAATACGTCGGCTCTCAACTTACACGTTGCCATCGGTGTATCGCTCAGCGACAATCTCGTTAATCCACCACTTGCTAATATCCAAAATCTCCACGTCAATCGAGTCATCTCCAATAAGCTCCTTGACCCTGGCCATATACTCATCATGGCTCGCATTCATCGAGTCCAACGTGACATCCGCGCCAGGCTGCGGTAAGAAGATGAACATCCACTCATACCACGGCCTCACCATGCGCACGACTGCAGCCCATCCCCAGATAGGATGTTCCTTCTCCGGCAGGAACGCCCAGTGAAGGTTACCGGTGCGGTACTGCATCAAGTGCGACATGTCCGCGCGGGCCAAGATGTTGAGCGCGAGCCCTTGGCCGGGCTTCTTGATGAGCGGGATGTCGAGGTCGCGGACGACCTGGCTGCGGGCGCCATCACAACCGAAGAGAAAGCGGGATTGGATCTTGTAGCTGCGGTTGGAGACGCGATCGTGGACCTCGCTGATGATGACGTCGGGGCTGGGACGCTCACAGTGGACGAACTCGGTGTTGAAGACGAGCTTCCAGCCGTTGTGGGCGGCGTGGCGGGTGAGGATGGGCTCGAGCTCCGTCTGAGGGAGATCCACGTGGTTGCACGGACTCGCTGCGTCGTATTCTCCCTGGTTCACTTGTAAGTATGTGAATGCATTGGATCAACCCTGCCTTTGTCTCCATGCTTGTGGATGACTTACTTTCCTCTTGGGGTCATTTCCCCAAGAGTAGATACGGGCATATTCTTCACCAGCCATGGTGTGGCACCACCTGGTGTGTGCCATATTTTTCCCCTCTGTCGCAAGAGCAAGACATTTCCCCTCGAGGCCAATGTCTCTCAGGCATTCTACAAAGAATGTGTTAGAGAGGCCAACTTCTAGTTTTCCTTATCGTTCATATGGAAGCGAGTTAGTGATCGAGGAAACTCTCATACCCAGTCCAGCCATGTTGGTAATGTGAGCTCTTGGGGTCTCTGCAGACCACGGGTCCCTGGCAATTATGATGCCAGTCCTGCCTGGGAAATGAATTCATATTAGTCTCAATTACACCCTAATTGCCTTGAACTAGAGATTAACAACTTCATTACCATGTGAAGCTAGGAAGCAGGCAAGCGAGGCGCCTGCAGGACCAGCTCCGACGATGAGCAGGTCGGTCTTGAGGATATCTTCTTCGGCCATGATCAAGCTCGTGCTATTCCGCGTAGGTTGTAACAAGGAGAGGAAAGAGGACGACAGAAACACTCGAATCAGCCCCAACACTTTCGCAGCGAGCAGGGAATCTTGTATAAAGAAGACTAAATCGGGTACTCAAATCAACCAGAGGAGCAGACAGCTTCCTGCAGCCCCCTCTTCGCCAATGGGCAATATATATATCTTCAATGTTACTCTGCAAAAAGCAAATCCTGAGCCGGGAACTTCAAACGTTTAATCTTCAAGTCCTCACGTAATATCTTACGAAGACCGGGGAAACCTCCAATCGAGGATTCCCGATCTGCAAGGCCGCTCCGGGATAAGCCCAGAATTAATGAACCACCGGTCCATTGAAACAGGGCAGGGGCAAAAAGAACCACTCCAGCAAGAGAAGTAGCAAGAGAAGCAGAAAGGGCAACTGGAAGTTGACGGGTAGCTCCAAATACACCGGGGAAAGTGTCCTTGTTGGTAAAGGAACGCGAGAACAATGCAACAATCGACATCACACCGCAACGTTAGGTGGGATTCTGCCAAGAGGAACACACCCATTTCGGTGATTTTCGAACTCCCGGAAGGAATGAGACGTGGACACCAAGACGCTCCGGGGTAAAAGGATCAATCAGTCATACATCGACATCAATGTAACCGAGGGGGGCCCAGCAGGAGGGCCATATTGACGGCAACGATTGATCGAATCGAATCATTTTTGCATTTCGCTGCAGTTCGGTTGCTTAAGAGGTGCCGTTCTTTGTTCTGTCAGCTTATTCTCACCCTCCCGTCTCAGCTTGACGCCATGGCAACTCGCCTTGGAGGGCTCGGTGCATCTTGACAATTGTCGCTCGCCAGCGCTGTGCCGCACGAAGTAAACTTATATGGGGTCTAGTGGATTAGACTTAACATACGAAAAATGAAATTCGATTTAAAAGCCCATGATTGATGTGCAAATTAAGGTGGAAAACCGTGATCCTCTAAAGTGTCAGTCGAGGAGCGGCAACTGTCTTGAGAAGGGGAAGTGGAGCATGAGGGACTGTCGGGATGCACGTGATCTTGCCAGGTGTCGGCAGTGGACAGAGGACGTGGAAGGTGCCTGTTGAGCCAGCAGGCAACCACGACTCATCGCTAACACCAGTCTTCGTTGCCTTCACGGCTCAAGTTCAGCGCACGAGCAATCGTGAATCGAATCGCGGCACGGCAAGTCCTAACGCATTTGGGGTTGAGAATTCTAGCCTCATTCAATTCTCCGCCATGTTTCTTGGCCACCCATAATCCATCGTCTTTGGGCGAGACCCAAGAACCGCCCACGTCCAAGAGAGTCCAAAGAAGGCCAAGATAAAGTCATCTCACGACCGCCATGTCTACCTTCAACGGCATTATCTCCGAGTTCCCAGATATTCGAGGTCAGTATGGTCAGTATTGAAGATCGAGCCTTTGTTATTGATGTTAATCTTATAAAAAAAACAGTGGACTTCTTCCGCTACAACCCAAATCATCCTCGACCACTGGCATGTTTCCTAAGCCATGTTCATAGTGACCATCTCGCTGGCCTCGAGACTCTCAAGGCCCCCTTGTATGTCCCCATTTTATCGCGACTATCTCAAGGCCGAATTAATTTACTGATCGTGCACGTCTCTGACTAAGTGTGTACTGCTCCGCGGGCACAAGGGAGATCCTGCTGCGTCTGGAGCGGTATCCGTGCAGGATTAATCATGCTAGGGGAGTTCTCGAGGCGAGAGTCCAAACCTACAAACATCTCAGAAATCTCTTGGTAAGACCTGTTCTATGATACTCCGCTGTAGGAAGTCTGTGAGATATAAATGAGAGAGAAAAGCCATCTGACATTTGTCTCCGCAAGAAACCGATTCCTCTGGAGACGCCAACAGAACTTGAGTTGAAGCCGGGAGTCACCGTTCGTGTTACGCTCTTCGACGCCAACCACTGCCCCGGATCCGTAATGTTCCGTAAGACATTGTCCTTCTGATTCTCGCGTACCCATGTAATGCCAACTTACTGATTCATTTCAATTCAAGTCTTTGAGAGTGAGAGAAGCGCTGTGATTTATACAGGTGACCTTCGCAGTGAGCCATGGTTTGTGAGCTCCATCGCAAGGAATCCAAATCTTGTCGAGTATACAAGTGGCATACGGACCCTCGACAAGATCTACCTCGATACCTCTTTCACCGGCGGCCTGTCGTTTCAGACGAAAGCCGAAGGTATCGCTCAGCTACTACAAACGGTATCAAAGTATCCCAAAGACACCATATTTCACTTACAAGCCTGGACTTTCGGGTAAGGAACTCTCCCCACTTGTCTCCTCCTGCCCTGGCTAACACTGGATAACGTATACTCATAGGTATGAAGATGTATGGATCGCCCTTTCCAAGGCCCTGAAGTCTAGGATCCATGTCGACGACTACAAAATGAGAATTTACTCCTCCCTAACAGCCCGCCTCCCCGAAAACGCCCGTCCTGGCCCGCATCTCCACATGGCTTCCGAGGCTGCCGCGTTGACGGGCTTTACTTGTGGTAATACGCCACATCCCGGATGTCTAACTCGAGACGAGAACGTACGTCTGCACAGTTGTGAGAAGGGAAACTACTGCGAGGTCGTTAAGAAGTCCCCTGTTGTTTGGATCTCACCCATAGTAGCTCGCTTGCCCGATGGTGCCGACTTGGTTGAGATGGGTGTGGGTGGTGGAGGAGACGACCTCGAGAGGGAGGCGGAGCTTGAACATTTGACTCTCGAAGAGATGAATGTCTTGATGAAGATGTAAAAATTTCCCGGAATACCCAAGGACCTGAGCCGAAATGGAACTCCAGACTAACATGAGAAAAATAGAATCACTGAGGATGATGCTGTATCGCTCGAGGTACAAGACCGCATCCGCGAAACTCTTTTGAATAAGACGGCCGACGGTCGCAACATTTCGCTAGACCTCGACATGTCCTCATTCGGAGACAAAAATGAGATGAACTTGAAGAGAGCAGTGGAGTCAATGTTAAGGACGTCGCTGCTAGGAAAGACCGAGCGTCGAACACTTCTGGGCACAGCCTCCGAAGGTCTGCCGAAAAGGATCAGCTTTCCTTATTCGAGGCATTCCTCTTATCCTGAGCTGTGCCATTTTCTCCAAGCGTTCAGACCACGGGACGTCTGGCCTTGCACTGTCAACCCTAGGGAGTGGTTGAAAGAAGGGATTAGCATCAAGTCGCTCTTCGGCGAGCACTGCTCTGGTGATGTCTTTGCTCATGACCTTAAGATGGAAGCTCTAGCGTCTCAGATGGGCATCCATGGGCAATCGGTCTCTCAAAGATCCGAGACCCACGAAAGTCAGCTGTCAATTAGCTCGCGAGGAGGGAAACCTCCTGTCAGTCCTGTGGAGCAAGGGAAAGCTCCGAAATTAGTAACGTCCATCTCGAAGGCCGACGGTGAGTCTGTGAGCAAACCGATAGAGATTTCCGATGACTCCGGCAATAGAGATGTCCCCCAGATTCAATCTGAGGTATCCTTCCAAGAAGAAGGGGAAGCATCTAGGAAACGGAATTTCGAATCGTATGCTCGACCAACTTCAGCTCAGACAAGCCAGGATAGCACTGCATCGACCTCCTTCTCAGACACTTCAGTGCCAGGAGGGTCTCCTGCGCCTTCGAGACTACGGATAGATGCTTACAATGCGATGATGAGGAACTTGGCCGGGGATGGAAGCGGAGGATGGGAAGCCATTGGGCTGATCTCTACTGGACATAATCATACTCATGCAGAGGTCGAACTCGGCGATGGTCATTAAACATGAACAAAGCGATAATAGAAAATATTTCTGCGCATTATGGGCGGGAGGCAATATCGACAAGGCATTGAAATTGATTGTAATCAGTCAATGCTCGCCAGAGGCGGAATGAGGATCGCTTAGAACCCCGGCGTGAATCGATACCAAAACCCCAATGTCCAATCGATATCTGACCTGTCGCGGAAATCTTCCAGTGCCGCCCTTTGATATCATAACCATCTTCTACCCACCCAAGTTCGAGACCCCATTTTATCGGGGACATGGTCTATTCTTTGCCCTGCAAAACGAGGTGAATGGTGTGGACGTGCTTCTACAGATGATCTCCCAAGAGAAGCACATAGGCAATTGCAGAAATCCTCTCGCTTGTCATGAGATTTGACATGGAAGAGGAGGCTGTAGTGTCCCGCCATTCTTCTACCAGGCTTTTCTTGCGTTACGCCCCCGTCTTTCTCGCGCCTTATTACACTAAGAAATAAAGGTTCATACCCAGGCTACCTTAGGTATAGCTTGATGCCGTGCTATTCTGGGGCTCACTGCACCCTGAATCCCAAAAATGGTTGGAGTTCCAGCACCAAGGTCAGATTCTTGATGGGCAAGCTGAGATACAGATACCAGTCAACCCGCCTCCGGATGACACCTTGGAACTAATCGACTTTGTCCTCAACCATGGTTCGTCGTTGCAGATGCGGGGAAGACCACAGTCTGGGGAGCGGTCCGTGATGAAAAGCCCAAGAACGGCTCGCCGAGCTCAATTGGCTGAGACCAGGTGTTGCAGGGGTTTTAGATCCTGCTTCCCTAGTCCCGAAGATCTGAGATCACATCACCCGCAGAACAGAACTACTGGCCATGGGCAAAATCCTCGGATTCATCAATGAAAAAGTAAACGACTCGACAACACTTTTTGTTTGCGCAAATGACCGACACTTGTGCATTTCGCAATGAGGGAAGAGGGAGGAGGGCCAAAAATTAATTCAGACACTTGACGTATTGGTCTAATGCAACCATATGTACGCTGTGACCCTGCGACGAGGCACATCTGTGACGTGTGACAGGAAGCGGAGTGGTGGGGAGTGTCTGTCAAGTGCGTGCGCCTTGTCCGAGGTGGTAGAACTCATGGACTATTACCCACTGATGCCAGGTGGATCGGGACAACTTGATGGCTTCAAGCCTTCAACTCGGGCCTTTCCCCAGACCCTGTCACCGTGTGCGGCTCCTCTCGGATCTTTGGTCCGCCCAAACTTTGGAAACCATTGAGCCACACCATCGAAGAGGACCCCTGTCGCAGACGGGTTTTGGCCCCAGCGCACGACTCGTCCCCCCTCCACTTCCCGCTCCGCCTTTGCGACTCAGCGGCACACGAATCTTAGACTTCACTTTCCCGTCCGGTGGGAATATGCAATATGCCGCCTTCAATGGCCTCCAACAGGTGCGAAGAGAAGGCGGTCGCGTCTAGGCGATATCGCGCCGCCCCCTTTGTGCCGCTCACCCCATACACCCCATACACCTCATACACCCCGCTAAGCACCAACCGTCTCGAAGGATCGCTTGCTGTTAGTCCAGGCAGAAGGGGCGGAAGGAATTGCTGTCACTGCCAACATGATCTTGCCATTTTCTTCGATGCGCAGACGAAGATCTTTTCCCTTTATCATGGATGATTCGAGGGTAATCGTGCCACTCACCGCCCGCCCCCAAGGTCGCCACCCTCTCGGTTGTTTTCAATGACAGAAGAGAGGCGCACAGACTCAAATACCCCGACGGTCTGGGCTTCATCCCGACTCCAGGAGGAGTAAAAGCCTCGGAGGCTGTTTCAACATGTTGGGGCTTTGGGGCCAAAGAATGAGAGTGCACTGGTAGTAATGGTAGAAACGAAAGGATGGATGGATGGACGAGAGGAGGGGGGGAAAGAAAAAACATCCGGCCTGTGCTGTGATGTGATAGCGATGAAGCCGCTTGAGAAATGTATATTTGGATATGTGGAGGCAATGGTGCGACGAGTTCATGGAGAAACGGAAACACTCGACGACGCATTACGCCCGGCACACGGACGTTTCTAACGATCGTGGCTATTGAAACCTCGACGAACTCTTTCGCTTGAGCGGGCAGAAGATTTACTTATAGGAGCATCCCGCTGCTCATCACATTTCTGCCGGCCCAGGATCTGTTTCTTCCTCTCTGCCCTTGCTCTGGAAGAGCATCCAGATTTGCACTGCTGATCTCTTATATTCATCCATTACTCTTTCTCCCTTCCTTGGTTGACACTCGAGAAGAGTTCTTCACAAAATGTCGATGGCCAAGATGCCCGTACCGGGCCAATATCCCGAGTTAGATGCTGAGACGAGGGTTCCTATCCTCGTTGGCATCTCGGTAGCGTTTGGTCTGGCGACGACTATTGCTGTCGCCTTGCGACTGTACACTCGCTTTTTTATCGTATGCGCTATGGGGTGGGATGATGCTACCATCGCATTTGCTCAGGTGCGTGCGCTACCTCTCAACTCGGACGCTCAAGGATACTGACTGATGTATGATCTAGCTATTATCTATTGGTGTCTCCATCATCACCATTCTACGTAAGTGTGCACCCTTCCTTCGCGAAGGTGCTGCTTTGACCAGGGCTAACATTCTTGGAAGAGGCCAAATATGGTCTCGGCACACACGTGTGGTTGACAACGGAAGAAGAGAACATGGCCCAGCTCAAGGTTCGTTACCCTCCAGTTCACAGAAGCTTTTCTTCGACACTCACTCTAGAATGAAATCTTCTTGTAACGCACTGAAAACTAACCTTTCTGGCAGGCCCTCTTCGCTGGCATGGTCATCTACAACCTCTCCCAAATCGTAACAAAAATGTCCTTCCTCTTCCAATACCGCCGAATCTTCTCCGAGGGCCGCACCCGCGTCGTCTGCCTCGTCCTCCTCATCTTCCTCGCCGTCTGGGGCGTCGCGCAGGAGATCCTCGTCGGCATGTCCTGCGTGCCCGTCGCCGTCTTCATTCCCAGCCGCATGGGCAAGTGCATCGACGCCCTGACGGTGTGGTACCTGACGTCCATCATGAACATCGTTACGGACTTCATGGTGTTCACGACGCCGATGCCGGCGGTGAAGAATTTGAAGTTGAGGAAGAAGCAGAAGTTGATGGTTCTTTCTATTTTCGGGCTTGGCTTTTTGTAGGTTTCCCCTAAGTTGTAGGACGTAAGGAAATAACCCTGGACTAATCATGTTATCACAGCACCTGCATCATCTCCATCGTTCGTCTCTTCACGCTCCGTAGCGCCGTCAACACCGTCGACCCAACATGGGACAACGTCCCCACCTCCTACTGGACCGTCATCGAGCTCAACTGCGGTATCCTCTGCGCCTGCCTTCCGACACTACGACCCCTCCTCCGCAAGATACTTCCCGGCATGTTCCCACATACCGAGAATTCGTCGAGACACCACCGGCGACCTAGCGATGGCGGCGGTCTCGAATCCGGCCACAACGCGCTGTATGCTAAGAGGAGCAAGCCTCGAGGCATGTACACGATTACTGGGTTTACGAACTTGGGCAGTGCTGAGGGCTTGAAGGAGAACGCGGCGACGTATGAAGTGAGCGAGTACGCAAACTATCCCGGAAACCAAGTGAAGCTTACTACGTCCATCTACGGGAGTCGAGATGGTGTGCGTCAGGGGAAGGAGTATGGGCAAGAGATTAGGGTGACGACGGAGATTGGGAGGAAGGAGTCGACGAAGCCGTCTGCTGGGACATGGGCTTGAGGGCGAAAGTGTGAAATCTCGAAAAACATGTGGATTTTCTTTTGTGACGGCAAACGGAATATGGCATGACTGTAAGAATAGGTGGACATGGTAGGCGGAAAAGGGCCTGGAGTTACGGGTGATCCTGGGGCTCTTCCCTCTACGGATTGATCGTGCGATTTGGGCGCATATGGGGAAGGACTTCATCGGGATTACGGCACATCGGGGGCAAAAAGGGATTTTCTGTACATTATCTTGTTTCTCTCCCTTTCATTCTTTTGATACCTGGAGGTTAAGGTGACGGCGTTTCGGGGCGGAATCGGTCGTTTTCTGCACACAAACGAGAGGGAAAATATAGCAGTTTCCTATTCATTCGAATGATTAATTGATGTTCGCTCCTCGAAAGACATTCGTCTCATTAGAGATCCAGGAAGCTCGCTTGCTGTTTCAAAATTATGCGGCTTGGCAGTACGTTTAGCGTGGTGCTCCAACAAAGTGGGCAGTGATCGGGAAGCTGCTGCAGGTCAATTTATCCTAAACGCTTCGGCAATATGCGCTTTTGGCGAGTCGTGGTAGGTTTAATCGAGGCTGAGCTACCTGAATCGTTGATAAGGTTTAGTTCATTATACCCAGCGGCCTTGGGAAGGCTTCGACATTGGTGAGCTTCGGCCAGAGTTTGTTCTAAGAGGAAGGCTTCAGCTTTAAGTGCTCGCGACTCGGAGAGCGTCCAGCCCTAGCCCTATGGTTCGATCTCTTGTATGTCTTCTTCTTCCCTCAGAAGTAGACTGAGAGATATCATGGATCATGTGCACCCTCGGACCCCTGGTTCGACATTGACCATCTCGAAGCTGTAGGTGAGCAGGAGAGATGTTCTCCTACTTGGGTGCCCTCCAGAGAGAACCACATAAAGGACAGTCCTCACCAAAGCGTTTATCTCGAGCGTGATCTCATTTTGGAAATTCGCGTTTTTGGCGATGCAAGTCAAAGGGAAAGAGCGCCTCCCGCACCTTCCTCATCACACTCAACCCCAACCACAGCCATATCCTTCATATATGAGTCCATGGCAAGAACTTCCAACCGAGCAGCTCAAGTAGTGGTGACACTACAACCAGTGGCCAAGTGGTCAACTGGAGCACTCAGAAGGTTAGAAAATTGCAATTTTCGTAGCTCGCGGGAAGCAACCAGGATTCGATCCTGGGAGCAACCCCCGAGCGAGCTTTTTGTATTTTCTTTTTTCTTTTTTTTTCCTTTTTTTTTTCTTTTTTTTCTTTTTTTTCTTTTTTTTTTCTTTTTTTTTTTTTTCTTTTAAAAAATTTCCCTTCATTTTATTCTCGCCTATTCCTTTCGAAATTTTTTTTACCACGAAATAGGCCCCCGAAAGGAGATGTTTCATTCTCGGTCACGAGTTAATTATCTCTCCTGTAGGTTGCTACTATTGGGAATCATTGATGACCCGGCATCCTTCCTATCCCGTGGAGGGAGAGTAGACGCATCTCGCGAGATTGCTAATCTTCTTTCTGTTGAAGGCCGCCTTCCTCACTGCTATGTTAACTCTAGCATCCAAATTGTGAGTGGCTCGCTCGAACAACCTCGCAGGTAATGCGCCGGGATGGGTCTAGGTAGCCGATCGACTGGAAGCCATCTCTCTCCAACTCAGGCTGGGGGACAGGACTGGCATCCTTGGGCAAAGACAACCGTAGCACGAGGGAGGAAGCAGGCCGAACGAGGGGTCGGAGCTGCCCATGGGTTATTTCGAAGGGCAATTTACTCGCAAATGCTTTGTATCAAGATGACTTCGTGTTCATGCCGGGGAGGGTTGCCTAGTGAGGGGGGAGACGTTCTAGGGCTCTCTTCGAACAGGGAGCCTCACGACATCCCCTGTTTGCTCTGTGTGAATGCTCCCAGATCGTTATCCGAGGCAAACCTTGGGTTGGTTCCTCTTCCCCGTCTCTCTCGCCGTCACGAAGTCGGCAGTTTTGATGTCAATCTCTTCCATCCATCCATTAGTGTCGGCGAACGGCTCCGAGTCATATGATAGGCTTGATAAACACTCAAGGCTGGGAAACAATCCTTTACCAAATACGCAGACTTCTTCGCAGTCGAGGTGGATTGTCAAGTCTTGGACTGGTCACCCTCATCCCTCTCGATGAAACGTGTGACCAGGGGACAAGAGATGTTAACATGGTTGACCTCGTATTCATCCCATTCACTGTTGACGAGGAAGGGAGTAAGCAGAGGACTCGAAGTCGTGAAGAGACGGTCAAACAAACAACTCTACCCTTCCTTGTCTTGATGCTAAATACCCGCATGGAGACTAGACTGGCTACAGGTAGTTGACAGCTCGCTAGCAATTGCACTAAACCTATTCACATCCTGACAGCTCCGGAGACGTCAAAGCAAGGTTGCTCGAGTAGTTTTCTGCCCCTAGGTTGCACGCACTTGCACGACCGTTAAATGACCTCACTCCCTACGTCAGGCCCTGCTGATGGCAGAGAGAAATTACTCAATTGGAAATAGGCCGCCAAAAATGGACGATACGAAATACGGAAACGACCGCAATTGGTCGTTCCAGATCCCAGTTCCTCTTCTGGAACACGAGGTTGGTCACCCGCCACCCCTCACCTTTTTCTTCACACAACTCAACTGGCATGGCCCATGCAAGCGACCATCACAGGAGCGGAGGAATTCAAATCTCTCGATGCCGAACCGGGGACAATGATGGTCGATTTTCTCATCAGACAAGGGGCATAAACTCGCCCATCATTTTTTTTTCCTCTTTTGTAACCCTAATCACGTTGAGAGTGGGTTGTTGCCAAACAAATCTCGCCTCTGCTCATTATTGACGTTCCATCAGAGTGGATGAGATGACGGATGAGGATTTGGAGCTAAAAATATCTTCCGAAAATCGCTACGAATAATTACCGGGTGATCAGCACCTTAATTCTTGTGTCATCGTGGGGTGCAGGAAACGTCAATGCCAGGCCCAATACTAATCACATTAATGCCATTGATTCATGGAGAAGCCAACAATGGTGTTCTTGGCAGGGCCGACATCGTCAATTGTTCTGGATTCTGGATTGTGGATTCGGCACCCAATGCCGTGTGCCCAAGAGAAGCAATGGCTCATCAAAGCACAAAACGCCAAAAAGCAAAGAGGACAAGCAGAAGTGGCGTGGCGAGACCTGACGCTATGGGCCAGAGAAAATGCCAGTCATGAAGATTGGTGATGCCAAGGCCTGAATACGAGGGCGTGGTGTTGTGGTTGACCAATGGAGATAACCGTCCTCTGCAACTTGGGATGCCCCTGTTCGAATCAGACGACGGCCGAATCTTCGACCGACACGACCATAAGCTGGTGACGTCGGGGGGAATTCTGGGGTTGGGATTGGCATTGGGGTCGGCGTTAGGCTCAGGCGGGCGAGAAGAGTTGGGATGAATACATAAACAACGCATCCCGACGGGTGAGGCCGTGACACCTCGAAACTTGGAAGATCAAAAAGCATCAGCGCTGAACATAATAATTATTGTTGTACATACGCTACTCTAATATATACCCACTCACCTAAAGTCGATCGCTTTTTGAACATCATCTTTACACGATGAAGTCGTTCGCTCAACTCGCCGTTTCGTTCGCTATGTAAGGCCATCCACCTCGTATCCACCCCACATCACAAAGCTTAAAGAAGTTCCCGCAACTAACACGAGTCTTCCCGTATTTTTAGCACTGGCGTTGCTGTCGCTCTGCCAGGCGTCCCCCACCACTCTGATCACCACTCCGATGACGGCGGCGTTACCCAGACTACCGCCGGTCCCTCGGTGCCTCCGCCGGCGCAAACCGGCTGCCCCACCGTGACGGTCACGGGCGAGCTCTGCTCCACCTGCGCGATCCCCGAATGTCTCGGCCTCGCTACGGTCACCCAGAGCTGCGGATGCCCCGAGGCCATCCCCACCGTCACCCTCAACTTCCCCTGCGAGGACAACTGCAAGGGCATCTGGTGCACCACGACGTATGACATTGTCACCGAGACCTGCGAACCCACCGGTTCCGGCACTGACGAGCCTACCGTCACTCCCACTGGTACGGAGGAGCCCCCCGAGTCGAGCTGCACTGAAGAGCCGACTGAATCCACTGAAGAGCCCCCCGAGTCGAGCTGCACTGAGGAGCCGACTGAACCCCCGGAGGAGAGCTGCACTGAAGAGCCTACTCAGCCCCCGGAGGAGAGCTGTACTGAGGAACCTACTGAGCCTACAGGTGAACCGACCGGAGAACCTACCGGAGAACCCACCGGAGAGCCGACGGGTGAGCCGACGGGCGAGCCGACGGGCGAGCCTACCGAACCCACCGGCACCAGCGGCCCCGAACCTACGGGTAGCAGCACGCCTCCCCCTACCGTCAATGCTGCGATGGTTCAGGAGGGATCTTTCTGGGCCGCTGCCTGGGTCGCTCTCGGTGCCGTTATTCTACTTTAGTTGATGGATGAGTTGGATACTGGTTGTCCTCGGGGATGGAGGCTGCGGGTGGATGGGGGTGGGTGAAGCTCTGAGCCGCATTAGGCGCTATTCGATGATTTAATGTCTGGAGGGGAGGATGCACTTTCAACGAGGGATTGATGGGTGTGTATATGTGCTATGTGTTCTATGAACGAGCAAATGAAGCTATTGGATATAAGCTATAATATGATATCAAATGAGATTGCAAGGTGCGACTTCTTAGACTCCCTCCAACCTGCGCCTTCTTGGATTAGAAGGTTGACAAAAACATCGCCGAGAATCATGTGAAATGTACATAATCAATCGCAAGCATTATCATCGTCAAGTACAATTGTACTTTGACTTTGTAATCGCATCGATGTTGTCATTCTCCCCGATTACTAAAACTCTTCAACAATCCAAGTCTTTTGGTTTCGAATTTGCTTTTCCATCAAAAACTTGAATCAAACGTTGATTCATTTGATCAAGACCACCAAGCCTCCCCTCAAATGTTGTTTGTCTCTGATGATTGGTCTGGCCCTTTAAACTCATCTGCGCCGAAGCTAGTTATAGCCCGCTAAGCTCGAAGCTTTCACCAATGAGTGCTCATCTGGCTCGTTCGCCCTTATGGCCAAGCGGTAAGGCGTTTCACTCGTACTAGCGACATGAAAAGATCCTCGGTTCAAATCCGAGTGAGGGCATTATTCTTTTTTGTTGGTCTCACATGAATGGAGATTGATAGATTTTGCAGGCAATTTTTTTGTTGGATTTTGTGCTTGATTTCTTTATTTTTGTCAATTTTTCATTATTTTTTTTTTTCTTCCTCCTCATTTAATGAAGACTTGGGCAAGGATTCCTTCCTTTCATGAATTATTTTCTGACGCGTTTCCAATTGATAATAAGTATCGTTTTATTCGTTTCTTAACTGAAGCTGTTCCAGGCTCTTTTCCTGGCTTCATTCGGCAGACGGCGTCCTCCTCCAGAGACGTGGTCAAGTGATTGCCAGCCTGAACCGACGAACCCCTCCATCCCGTCCATTCCATTCCCAGCGCTAGCACAGCCACCGAGTCACTGTCCAGTCACCGCTCACTCACTATCCACCTTCCCTCCAAACCTCAGCCCATTTCCCTCACACAACGAGCCTCAACAAGAAAATCTCCAGTTTTCAACACCCACAAGAAAGCTTGTCCCTCGGCGCGTCCGCCAGCCTTGGAACATCCTTCATCCTTCTCCCGCCCCAGCACATGCCGGTTGGCGAACTGCATCCGAGGGAACCCCTGATAAACTGGGGCTTCATATGACGTGGCCCCGGCAAGCTTGGCCTTCAGTGCCCTGAGTCCGTCCTGCAGGAAGCAAGAGTTAGCTCGAGTATGGTTGGATACAGGATCAGAACTGGCAAAAGTGGTGTGGTGCGGTGACATCAGGAGGGGCAAATTGGAGCTCTCCATTGCAGCATGGGGACATTTGGGACCTGGAAAGCTGGGAAGATATGGGCCCCCTATGCCTTGGTGGCTTGTGAAACGATGCTTTCGAGATGTGTCTTGGATTTCTTTTTATTTGGACTTACATAGCTCTCCCCTTCCTTCGACATGGCTTTTGATCTTTGACTATTCTTTTTCCTTCCCATTTACCAAGCTAGACTAGACAGGCTTTACAGCTTTACAGCTTTGCGGCTTCATTCCTCTTTTCTCTTTCAGACCCTCCGCCAAGCCTAGAGCTAAATACGAATTCATACATAAACTCAGGGCGTCCTGCTTCCTCCAGCTGTCTCTCTCAGCCCAAACTCTCTTGAGCTTTGTGCCTGAGACTTGATTACCCCGCCATCGTCATCGACATCACAGCCCGTTACCCCTCTACTTTCCCCAAACCCCCACCACCAACCACCACCACCACCACCACAATGGTCCTCTTCGAGACAAGCCGTCAAACCACCCGCATCGCCGTCGTAGGCGCCGGCGACGTCGGCGCAGCCTGCGCCTTCGCCTGCATCATGAACCACGTAGCCGGCGAGATCCTCCTCGTCGACATCAAAGAGACCTTCCGCGACGCCCAAGTCCTCGACCTAGGCGACGCCGCCTACCGCGGCACCCCCTCCGTACGCGCGGGGACCTACCAAGAAGCCGGCCAGTGCGACGTCATCGTCGTCACCGCCGGAGCCAAGCAGAAGCCCGGAGAGAGCAGGCTGCAGCTCATCGGCAGGAACATTAGCATCTTGAGGACTGTCATCGAGGGCATGAAGCCGCTCAGCAAGGATGCCATTTTGCTGCTCGTGGCGAATCCTGTGGATGTTTTGACTTGTTTTGCGCAGGAGATTTCGGGGCTGCCGAAGCAGCAGGTTATTGGGTCAGGGACCTTTTTGGATTCGATTCGGTTGAGAGGGAGGTTGTCGCAGAAGATTGGCGTGAGTTAATTGCTCTCATTTGTTATTCTTAATTTTTCTTTTGAAGGTGAGCAAGGGCTGGCTAACCTAGAAAATATTCTAGATCTCCGCCAACTCCATCGACGCCTATGTTCTCGGTGAGCACGGCGACAGCCAATTCGTAAGTTATTCAACACCTCCAAAGCACCCCCCAAAACATCCCCACCCTCATCCCTCTTCCCATATCTAACGCACAAACACAGGTCGCCTGGTCCATAGCCACCGTCGGCGGCGTCCCCATCGACGAAGCCGTCCCCGCCGGAACCTTCGACCGCGACCTCATCGCCGAAAAGTGCCGCAACTCGGCCGCCACCATCATCGAAGGCAAAGGCGCCACGTCCTTCGGCATCGGCGCCGTCGTCTCCAGCATCTGCTCCGCCATCCTCTTCGACAAGCACCTCGTCCGCCCCATCAGCCATTGGGTCCCCGACCTCGGCTGCTGCATCAGCCTCCCCGTCGTCCTGGGCCGTCGCGGCGCCGCGAGGCCCTTGCCGATGAACCTTAATGAGGAGGAGCAGAAGGCTTTGGAGGGTTCGGCTGCGACGTTGAGGGGGGTTATTGCGGATGTGAGGAGGGACTTTAAGCTTTGAGCGTGGTGAGGGGGAGGTGCTGGATTGTTTTACTGTTGAGAGATGGGATACATGAGGAAATCTATGAGCCACGATTTTTTTGGAATGATGCGAACTAGAGTTAAACTCTTGGACACTTAAAAAAGAGGCTAGAGTCGATCTATCGAGGTTGACTAGAACTGGTTTGTTACAAATGGACCGCCTGCAACATGAAGTCGATCGTATGTATCGTCAATAAAATACGACGTTGGATCCGTACAACTACCATGATCATGCTCTCTTGATTATTTGATCGTGTCATACCCTGCCTTATTTTTCTCGTGACAATGAAAAGAAGATAACCGCCAATCTCTATCGTACATCAGCTGTCCCGGTGGGCCGCTCTGCAACATGCCAAGGGACTGATTGATACCTGCTTGGACTTATCCGACAACGTCAAACCTTTCCTCAACATCCATCTCGTCATCATTTCCGTAGGGCGAATGAGAAAAATGATCATCCACATCGGCGTGGGGCACCTGAGTGACTCCCTTTTGCTTCGGCTTCGGGGCGGGAGGAGCTTCCTCCACCACCTCTTCCTCGGCATCTGCCATCTCCTCCTCACCTTCCTCACCGCCATCCTCTTCACCGTCACCGTCGCCATCCTCCTCTTCGTCGTACTCTTCCTCACCATCTTCGTCGTCGCCCTCCTCGCTGCTTGAGCCGGATCCATCGCTGTCGCCATCGCTACCAGGATCGTAATCCTCCTCGAGCTCGTCCTCCTCGTCCTGAAGCTTCTGCTCCGCCTCGAGCTGTGCCTTCTCGAGTTCAGACATTCCACCGGCCTCCGGAGCCTCGGCATTGTCTCCCTGAGCCTCCTCGTCCTCGCCGGCGCCTCCAGCCTTCTTCGCCGCTCGGATATTCTCGGCAAGCTCGAGCTTAGCCTTTCGCTGCTCCGCCATGCTGCGATCCTGCAGCCTGTTCTTCTTGACGTAGGTCTCGTCAATACCCGCATAATCCGCCTGATCAACCATGCCAAACTCCACCTCCGTCGACTCTCCCTCTCCCATAAACACCTCAACCACAATATTGAAAGTCCTCTGCAGGACGCTCGTGTAACTAACGGCAGAGATGCGATCGAGCGGAATGAAAAGGAGCGGCTTCTTGTAGCCCCACAAAACGCCGTTCTCGAGGAAAAACAGGTATCCATCCTTCGAGCCCCGGAAGGCCTTGACGTGCACCGCCCTCTCCTTGGGCCTGTGCGGTTGCGCGATGACGCTGTGGAACTTGTTGGGATCAGTCGAGACGATGTCGATGGCGTTGCCGGCCTTGCGAAGGTGGTCCTTGAGGGCCCAGTGGAAGAGAGTTTGGTAAGAATCGGCGTAGGTCGAGGCTTTGGCGGCGTTGGAGCCGCCAATCGTGCCTTGTTTTGGGGGCGTGGCTGGCACTGTGAAGACGAGGGGGTCGGTCGCTGACGCGATGCCTTTGAGGGAGGCGAGGCAGGTGCCCTTGGGGAAGAGGATGTAGTTGTGTTGGACCTGGGCCTTTTCCGGAACCGGAAGGTAGAAGGCGTATTCTACGACGAAGACGAGGGAAATGGTTAGAAATGCACCACTCTTCCCACAAACTGGGTAAAAAAAAAGGGATTCCCACAAAACCTACCAATGTCCTGCCAGTGGTACACGATCCCTTGAACCGGACCAGGGGCATTCGCCGCCCTTGCATAGAGATGGTTCGCCGTGAAGCACAGATCGAACTTCTTCCTCTGCGGGATAGACATAGAAATTTCCTTGATTTCCAGGAGAACAGGCTCCTGCGCAGCATCGGCGCCATTCGCTCCGTTTAGGCCGTCTCGTCCATCACCTACTCGCCTTCGCTTCGCAGCGGGTTCGCCATTCGTCTGGAGATCGTACACGAAACTCGCAATGTTATTGAACAAGTTCACTCGACTCGGAGAATCTAAAAATGGAGTCGATTAGCTTCATGGAATCAGGAAACGCCAGTGATGGGGGGAAACGTACCAGCGGCAGCCTCGATGCTCTTAATGATGTCAGGGCGAGACTCAAAGGCGAGGCGGAGCCTCTGCGCGTCGAGAGCGGCAGACATTTTCAGGTGGTTCCGCCGACTTCGAAGGGTCAAATACGACAACGAAAACCCAACGTCGATGATGATGAGGATGAATTGGTCGCTTGATTGAGCCCAACAGCGATTCTGACGCGTTTTTTCTTCGCCTTCTGGTCACAGCGCGACGGGTTTCCTCAGTTGGCGCTGAGTCAGCTCGAAAACTTGGCTGGCGTTTTGGTTTACGGGGTGTTGGTGTTTGGGAGAGAGTTGAAACTGGCCTTGAGGGTGTTAAGGAGAAATGGTTGGAGGAGGTCACTTATACGCTAGGTTGGAACGTGCAGTTACTTTCACAAGGGATTCCTCTTAACAGAGGCAACCCCGCGCTGGGAACATCTGCTGCCCCTCAGCATCTTCATCTGATCATCACCTTCTCCTTTCTTACCAGGGAAGGGTGGATTATGATGGTTCTCATAATCGAGGCTAATTTACAGTGGAAAAAAATGCAATTCCCAAATGTATATGCTCACCGGAGAGTGGCAGATACTGCTAGCAAAGGCTGTGAGATCTGCTATAGGCCAACTTCAAGTGTGCTTCTCTCAAATGGGCCTGATGGAAAGGTAAGGAGGTTTTATTTATCGTCCTGAGACAGGAAATGGCTAAATCTTCCATGTAGGACTTCTTTTATGTCTGCGTGGCGCACCTCAAAGACAGAAACTTCTGTACGCCCATTATAGACCAAGCGGCTATTGATGCGAAAAAGAAGAAGGAGCTCGACGAGGAGGTGGAGAGGGTGAAGAAAGAGTACGAGGAGAGAAAGAAGAAGAAGGAGGAAGAGAAGAAGAAAAAGGAAGAGGAGGAGAAAGGGAAAGAGAAATCCAAAGACGACAAGGGAAAAGAAAAGGAGAAGGACAAGGACAAAGACAAGGATAAAGAGAGTAGTGAAGGAGACAAGAAGAATGACAAGTCCGACGATTCCAAAGTAAGTGCTGCAACGCTTAGTGTCGTCGATCCTGCATCGCTAACTCGACGGACTCTGTCAAGGCCGGGTCTCCGACGCCAACAGCAGAAGAACCTCGTGTCTTTGCTCTTCACCGGTAGGTCGGCCGTCGAGCTGTCGCCCGCATCCTACTTGATCGCGTCAAGCTAAATTCTTCATCACAGCACATTTTACCAGCAACGAGTTGAGAAGAGGCGACAGATGGAAATAGCTAAGCGAAACCGCGAGAGGCTTCAGCAACCAAATTACTTCCCCTCAGTTCCCAAGGGTCTCCCAGGCGCCTGAGCTGCCGGCCCACTATCGATCTTACTCAAATCAATCTTGGTATCAGGGTATAAGGCTGGATACATCCACACACCCATGCCATTCCTCCCAAGCAAACTTGCCGATCTTCCTTGGATTCACCCCCTCTACGATGAGGTACTTGAGCTTGGCATGGTCGAAGTACCTCTGTTTTCCTGGGGAAACCGGCCGTTTATCCTGTTCCTTTCCCCGAAACGATACCGTTTAATGCGAGTAAGACGAGGGATTCTTGGACCATAATCTCACCCGAGTGCCAAGATCCGACTTTCCAGAAGCTTGATCTGTATTCTAATAGACAAGAGTCGAAGGGATGAACCAATTTTACATTTCCAGTGCCCTTTATTATTTTATATATTTATTTTTATTTTTACTTTCCTCTCCTTTTTGTCACTTTGCTATCCTACCTCCCATTTTCCTTTCTATAAGCGGATTCGCTTGCGGCGCTAGTCTGGCCGCCTGAATGGCCACGCCCATCTTCGGCAAACCTGGTGTGACCCGGTGCCAAGACGCCTCGTTTCCGGAATAGGCATCTAACACTGGCACAGCCAACATGCCATGGTCAGCCGCAAACAAGCTCGCTTCTTTTCAGTAGTCGGGCCCAACCGCAAGCCCGTCTCAAAGCACAAGAATTCAAAAAGAAGAAAAGAGGGAAAATACTCGAGCTTCCTCTAGCGTCGGTCAAACTTGGTGGATTAAAATAAGGATTTCCTCAAATTAGTGCTCATTCAGCTTTGCTTTGACCTGCTTCGAAGATCACCGAACCGGAATGAGCCGATCACGACTTTGTGTGGGACCTGGTGATACGAACAGCCTCATTTCCCCCCTCTAACTCCTTCCAGGCGACCAGAGCGCACCGATCAGACCAAAGAGAGAACAGAAAACCCTGGTCAATAATGGAGGGGGGACTTGGCCAAAGCCCCCTTCCCGAACACGGAAGAAGACGGACGGCTCGGTCCTTGGTTGGTCCACCTAACAAGTAATGTGATGGGATCGATCTTGCTCTTGACTCGACTGTACCCTCCTCAATATCATTTTGTGTGTGTGTGTGTGTGTGGGATGACCTGCATGCGAGGTAAACTAGTGCTTACTTCCCTGCTAACACGAACATTGCAAATTGTACCCTACTCACATATTTGCCATGATGCTCACCCCCTCCATCATCAATCCGGCCACCAAGTCGGACGAGTGATCGTCGAAGCGAAATTCAGGGACCAACCAAATCCGAGGGATATGCAATCGTGGAAAGGTGGGGAGAATTCGGTTCTTTTCCCTCGTAGGGTTGCGGTGTGTGACGATGGATTTTGTGGTGCTATTTTCTTTTGGAAGTGCCTTCGCTGTGCTCACCATTGGTTCCATCTTCGGGCATGAGAAGTGGAACATGGAGGTTATCGTGTCATTGTTCGGTTGACTGACCTGAGAATGTGTGGGAGATTTCCATGCTGCAGCGGCGCCTTGGCACGATCGCCGTGTCCCGGTGGGTGTATGTGTGAGTTGTGTGCAACTCCATCGAGACCACCATGCAATATCGACAAAGTCCGGACTAAGACGTCACCGGGAGACTTCCCCCCGCACCGCTTACTGCCTGCTTATGCTGGGGTGAGCAAAGGTATCAAGACCGATACCACTTTCGCCTACCTGCAGTTCCCTCAATCTATTTCCCGCGCCAAAGTCATTTTGTCTCCACCGAACTTCCCCATAGCTTAGGGCTTAGAGGAGCCTCGGCGAGCGAAAACAAATTTCGAGAGTCTTCGGTGATCAATATGAACGGAGGCCCTCCTGGGGCTCTAGGGCTGAAGATCACCCATGGTCGACGTGGGTCGTACAACTCCACATTCGTGCCTGTCGATGGAGGATTTAGGCTCTTAGGTGCGGAGAGATCCTTGAGAACGTGGGAGCCAGAATCGACGTGTCTCTACGCTCACGCCCCTCCGTGGCCTGAGCTGTGACGGCCGGTACCGGCAGCGGTCGTCATCGAGCATGACCTGGCTGGTTTTCAATATAGTTTCCAGCACTCTGGTCCGGCCGTAATGCTCACTTGGCACTACCTGTCAGAAATGGCCTCAGGGTAAGCCATAGGAAGTCCTCATCATCTTGTGCCGGAGACGGGCGGCTGTTCTCTGATAAAAGCTATTTCAGGTTATTATCAGAAGATTCTTAACAATGTTGAGACCACTGGCGAAGTTGCTAGCAGTCTTCTGGGGACGCATGATCGAGTCCAAAGAGGATTCCCCCTCCAAAAGCCTCGACTAACAGCAAAGGCGGATGCGGGGACGGACGTTAGTCGCCCCTCAAAAGCGCCCGCATCGCTTGGCGTTTCTTCACCTGCCTACCGAGGATGGGTCAAGAAGTCTGAAGAGGGGATTAAGAGAGTAAGGCTTGCTTGGGTTGGGTAGAGAAAGAGAGGGAGACTGTGGGGGGTTCTATGACCCTGGACAACTCTCGCCGAAGACCGCATTGGGGCGAGATCACCTCGAATCCGACTGGTCCCGGCAGATGTGCCCTCCTGATATAGTGCATGTCCTTTTAGCCTCACCACTTACGTTCCGTCCATCGAACCAAGAATACAAGGCGGGACCAGAAGACCACTCCCCCCTCGCCGGAGTTAGCCCTGGTGAATAAATGACATGACCGCTGTATGGCCCCCAAATCTCAATAAAAGCATCATCATCCCGGAAGCGGAAGAGGGGCGTCCCCGACCCTCCAATGCATAGGCACGGCGCACGGTATGTCCTATTTGTAAACGGCACGTCCGATGATTCTGTCTCATTTATTGGGGGAGGGGTGGATCGGAGGGTCGGGATCGGGCCCTGAGTAAATGCGTGGCGTATTTTTCTTTTCTTTTTTGGCAACGGCGCTTGATTACATTCCGCTCAAGGAGCCGACGATACGCACGTAAAGAGAAAGGGGGAAGAAAAAAAAGTTGAAATTTGCTACTACGCCAACCCTACCCTGGCCTAGGTGTTAAAAGGTAACTGAAAAATTTTTTTACAGTGTTCCAACGAGAGTCGCTGCGCTGACGCCGGGGGAATCAATCACCAGTCCTCCATGGGTTCGGAAACAGTGATACGCGGGAGACACCCGTTTGCTGTGCTTACACCGTTTCTGATGCAAGAAAGCACGGAGGCAGCGTGTTGTGTGCTCCCGAGACACATAAGGCTGGGCCCTGTAAGCTGTTCAACTTCGACATTAAACTCTCCTCGTGCTTTGGGGAGATTTGGAGCAGATAAGAAATTGTGCTGGCCTTACTGTCCGAGGAGCATGTCCTTACCACCAATTCCTACACGGACTTCCTCTCACGGAATGTCGAGCTCAAGAAACAGGTTTGGAGAGAGCCGAGTTAAACGGCAACCGTCAATTTCGCGCTCAGATGTAAACAACTATACTCTAGAAACTTCACTGCCATCCTCCAACCCCATGACCACACTCGTCTCTATTCCAAATCCGCATCGTCCATGTTCCTGATAAACAGGCTATACCACTGAACAGTCCTAACATGAGCTAAGACGCTAAGCTTCTCATTCACCGTATGTATTCCCTCCCACATATTATACTCCGGGTCCCAACCCGGCGCAAACCGGAAAATATGCTCGCTCACGTCCCAATAATACCTTGTGTCTGTATTCCCCGTCATGATCCCCGGAGCGACGAGTACATCCTCTCCGTACAAACCCCTCGTGGTACCCGAGAGAACAGAGTAAGGCGTCGTGCCGTTGACGGACGTAGGCGTCACGGGCGCCGGCTCGAGGATGACCTTCGTGATGCCCAGCGTGATGGAGTTGAGCTCGGCTTCGTCGTGCTTGCCGGCCTCCTCGAAGGCGTGCAGCGTGAGATTGTGCTTCTTGGCGACGCCGCTGGCCAGCTTGGTGAGTTTGTCTTTTACCTCGGCGGAGGTCGTGCCGACGTTGATGCGGTGGTTGATGAGGGCGCGGGTTTGCTCAGGGAGCGCGTTGACTTTTACGCCGCCGGAGATCACGTCGACGGCGACGGAGGTGGTGAAGAGGTACTTGATCGCCGGGCCGGCTTTGGCGGCTTCCTTTGCGAGCTTATCCTCCTTGTGATGATGGTGATGGTGGTGGTGATGCTTGCTGATAGAGGCGGCGTGCTCGGGAAGAAGTTTCTTGAGCTTATGGGGGAACTCCTCGGCATGGGAGGCGCCGCACTGCAGGAGGCCCAGGAAAGGGTTCTCTGCGTGTAGGGTAGGCTCGTAGGGGTTAGATTCAACTAATGTAATAAACTCGGAGAGGATGCCGATGCCGGTGTGGTCGGGTGGGACCGAGGAGTGGCCGCCCGGCATGCGCACGGTAACCTCGACATCGATGTAGCCCTTCTCCGCAACACCGGGGACGGCAAAGGTCCTACCCCACGAGGAGATGAACCCGGAACCCTCGTCAACGATGGTAGCCACGCCGTGCTTTCCGTATTTCTGCAGGACAGCCTTCGAGAGGTAGTTCGAGCCCTGGCCGCCCGAGATCTCCTCATCAAAACCGAAAGCCAAGATGACAGTGCGTTTGGGCTTGTACCCAGCCTCGATCAGAAGCTCAACCGCTTCAAGAATACCAACCAGTGAGTTCTTGCAGTCCGCTGCGCCGCGGCCCCAGATGAATGTGCCGTCGTAATCGCCGCTAAAAGGAGGATGATCCCATTGGCCCACTGTCGACTCCGCCACCGGTACGACGTCCTGGTGGGCCATGAGCAGCGTGGGCTTTAGAGAAGCGTCGCTTCCCTCCCACGTGTACAGCAGACCGTAAGTGTTGACCTTTTCGAGCTTCACGGCATCTCCCTTGTGGATGCGGGGGAATGTGCGCTCGAGGTAATCCGCTACGTCGCCCATGGGTTCCCACCGCGGGTCCTCGCCAACGGGGCCCATGTCGTCGTAGGACTGGGAGGGGATCCGGATGGCGCCGGATACTCGCTCGATTGATTCGCTGCGGAATTGGTCAGAGGTGAGGAACTTGTCCATGCGATCAAGGGCGTCGTCATCCTCGCCACCCCCGCGGGAGGGGTTGAGAGGCAGCACCTGGAAGCATTGGGTCTGGGACTCGGAAATTGCCCTGCCACTCCTCCAGGAAGCGCAGGATGGAATGATCGAGTCGGGGTGACGGTATACGAAGAAGAGCACGTTGAGAATGGCTAGCAACAAAATGGAGCGTCCGAAGCGGGATGAGGCGCGGGAACGGAGCTTAGGGCCCCCACCGCCGACGGGCGGCAAGGTCTGGGTCTTCTCGGACATGCTCTGCGTCCCAGTTTGCGTCTTCGGTCTACTAAGATTCGCGTGGGATGTTCAATTGATTCTCAATTGGATGAGGAGGACACTACTTCGTACAGGTCAATGAGTTGAGACGTGGGCGTTATTCAACTGGGCACACGTGATATAGGAGGGAGGAGGTTGGGAATTTGAGAGTTGAGGTCCTCAGGAATCATTATTAATTGATGATGCAATTGATCCGCTGCAATGTCGACGACATGGGCTTCTCGGCTTAATTATGCCGACTGTGACCGACCAACACCAACACTCGTCGAGTCTCGGTCGCACTCGACCTTGCAGAGCGTTGGGGATTTTCAGTCGCAACGGGACACTCCGATGCATTTGCTCTTTTAACACTATCGCGGAAATAAAATAGCTTCAGGCTATGATCCACCTGCCTACCTACCACCAACTCCGATGATGAATCCCATCCCTTCTCCTTGAATGCCATTGCCGTGTCTCCCCATTCTCTAAACTAGATTCACCGCTCCTTTCTATGCGTAGTTACAAGCCGAAGAGAAGGTAAATCTAAAATCTGATATGCCCATCATAAATTCTCCCTCGGGGTCGCACCCGGAGGCATCCGTATCCCCAGCGCCGCAGGGACCCTCGCGGGCTTCACCACATCAACCTTGGACTTCTGCAACGAAAACGCCGGCGTAACCCACTCTCCACACGAGCACTGGAATCCTTTCCATGAGTACCGACCCACCGAGGCGCCGCACTTGACATTGGGACACGATAACCTCCCGTCAAGCTCACCCTGCTCGAGCGTCGACCGCATCCACGAGAGCGGTTCGATAAAGTAATGCGGGCAGGCGCCGGGAGATGCGGCTGGTTTAGAAGCGGAGCCGTCTCCGTGGTGGTCTAGTGCGACGATGAATTGGGCCGTCGCGAGGGTTTTGCGGCACTTGCGGCATCGTAACTCGGGGTCCGCCGGCGATGGCGGGGTTTGATGCGCAGGCTGACCACCCTGCACAGGCTTGGCTTGATTTATGTCCTCATCCTCGAACCTCAACTCAGGAGCCATACCGCAGGCAACGCTCCTCTCAATTTCTCTCTTGTAAGCCCACTTCCTGTAAACGGGGTGTCCCTCCACGTCCTCGGGACACCCCATCTCCCACCAAAGCTTCAGCTGCGACCGGAACCCCCAGTTCGGATCCGCCATGGCGCGACTCCTCCGGATCCACTCGATCGCCCCGTTGACGGCGTCCCTCCCGCCACCTTTTCTCGAATCTGGATTAGCCGCAGAGGCCGCGGACCTTCCAAAGCGTTGCGGGTGCTTCCAGAGCAGGTACGCAGCCACTGTGGCTACGGAGCGTGATTTCCCCATGGCGCAGTGGACGAAGACGGCCCCCTCGGTTTCGAGCTCGTCCTCGTCGCCTTCACTCAAGCTTTCGCCACCGTCCGGCGGCGGTGTCCTCGACGGGTAGAGGCCCTGCTCTATGAAGCGGACGGCTTTCGGGAGGTGTATTAGGAGATCTTCGTCGTCTACGTCGTCGATGTCGATCATCATGTGCTGGGCCTTGTTTCTGAAGTCGTCCCAGGTCGGACCCCTGTTTGCGTCTCCTTCCATCTCCCTGTGCTTGAACCCCACGACAGAGAGTACGTGGGTGACGCCATGGTCCATGAGGGCCTTGGGCCGTCTGAGAGCAAATATGCTATGGGTAAGTTAGCCAACGCGGCTCTGTGGCACCGTGTAAACGAGGTTGATAATGGGATGCGACTCACCTCCCGACGTAGAGGTTCTCCTTACCCTCTATCCGGTCCAGTGACATGTTGGAACAGGGAATATGAGCCTTGTGTATGGAGTGGGGAAACGGAAGTAAAAAGGGGTATAATAATCCTTCACCCAACCAAGGAAAAAAAAAAAAAAATGCTACCGTTTCTCCTGTACAACGCCCTTTGCAGTTTGAATTGTATGTAGAGCTGTCCGATGTTTTCGACCACCGCGTTTGCAGGTGAAATTGTGAAATCTGGGGTAAGAAAATTCGGCTGAAGTGCCCCGCCCCCGCCCGTCCTGAACGCCACCCACTCCCTGCCTTGAAGCGAGGGCGCCCTGCAATTCTTGTGACGAGAAAGCCAGGCGGTCCCTGACAGGAATGGATAGGACTGCGAGCACGAGAATGCACGACAAATGAAAGCGTGAGATTCTCAGCCGTGTCTTTTTAGATGAAGCTATAATAGCCGAGTCAGACACAATTGTTGAAAATTGTTCTGCAGGGCAATAATCAAGATTTCGAATGCGGTGCAGGTTGTGCGCAGCTTGTGATGCCTCGATACATGTGTTGCATCATTCTTCATGCAATTATCGGGGCAATTATTCACTAACTGCCTGGCGACTCCAAAGTGCGCACCAAAACGCCAAGCAGTCTCGGACATAAAGCTGGTGTCGGGTCGGCCCAAGTACAAGAGGACGGACATTGGAACATCCTTCAATGTGAGAAAGCCACTACTGTCTCCGACGAAAATGCCAGTACGTTATACTTCTTCGGAGTCCGCTTTTCCGTCAAGTAAAACAACGGAGCGACTCTTGTTTGTGGTGCAAAGATGGCAAGTCTTGCAGCGTTGTGTCGTGTCGTGGATCCCCTCCTGTAGGGCTGAATCACATGAACGGAACTTTCACCGAACGGAAGCTGCCGCGGATTCGGATTGGACACACGGAAGCCAGAAACATTTCCCAAAAGGTCCCCACGCTTTGTTCTAGGCCCCTTCCACCACTTTTCGACAAACAACCACGCCTTGGACACGTTGAGAGAGGGGAGGGGGGGAAGGGGAGCAAGAGGGCTTTGCTGCGTGGAACTTCTGCGTCGGCTCTCGGGAATGTCGTGACCTGGTCCAGTCCCCGATTCGTCCCTCCTTCTTTCGTACGGAGTACGTCCGTCCTTGTAAAGCGGAAGAGACCCACCACCTCTGGCCAAGTATCGAGTGTTATTGATGCCGAGGCACAGGGGGACTTGGTATTGAATCCAACTTGGGATCTAGCGGCCCCCCCCCCCCCCCCCCCCCCCCAAAAAAAAAGAACGCAAAACTGCACTGCGCTGCGCATACTTGTACGGAAGAGCAGTTGATCATGCTCCCTTCAGAAAGGGGGCGCACATCATTGATGCCTTCTCCCACCACTATCACTACCGTTGTTATCGCAATATCCAGTAATAAGTATCCAAAATGTTTCCAACCTCCTCTTTCCCGACCATCTCTCCCCTCCCCCCACTTGCCTGTACACTACTCATACACACTAATCCGCGAAAGAAAGGGACTGATGGCAGCAAATGGCCAGCCACCCCTGCCATGTAATGTATTGACGTACACTATGGTGAGCAAAAGCATCTGCATGTGCATCTGCGGAGCAAGGCAAGTCTAGTCGAAGTCGTCCGACACCGAGAGGACTAGGGGTACCCAGTGAAGGAGGATGGTCTTCCTTCTCTTTTGCCCCCACGACTCTTTGCAGGTAAGGAATGCAAGTCCTCTCCGCCGGTCTCACCTTTTTGCTGCCCGTTTATCGGCCACTCCAAACACCCCGCCCCCGCGACCCACGATCCTACCGAAAAAAAAAAAAAAACTAGATTAATTCTTGGTCGTCTGTTGCACGCCTTTGTACCTTTCATGCCTTCTCTCACGACCGGGATACCTTTTTCCATATTCTCTACACCTCCCCATCCCAGTCGTCCGTCCCGCCTCAAACAGAGATGCACCCCTCCCAAAAATAAATCAGGTCCGTGTGTTATCCGGTAGAAGCGAAAGGGAACAATTGAAAAACACAAAACCCCCCCCAAACAGAGTTGCAACGAGTAATCTACTTTGCCAGAGGGCGCGAAATAACAGTTCCCAAAAATAGCAATGGGGTCTCGCCTCGCCTTGGTTCTGCTCTACCCCACTCCCCTGGCTTTCCTGTTTTGTCCTCCTTTCTCACGGGCAAGAAGCTGTAACAATGGATTACACCGAATATAAGCCCACACCAGACTCCATCAATATTTCCATCAATCCTTGCACAAACCCCCTGCTAAAAACCCACCTGTAGCTGTAGGGGCCACTTAGCGCCTTCTTCCAAGGATCCCTCGTAGGGCCCGGCCAGCCTCCACTCCCAGCTGCTCAGGGTCTTATCCGTAGCCTAGCTAGGCGATAACGGCTCCGTACTAGTCCACATTGGCACATGGACCAAACCACGATGGTGACAGATGGGCTCACTTACTGCCCGCTTACTTCCCGACCTCCCTCCTGTCTTTTCCGTGCTTGGTCAGTGAGAGCGAACATGGGTCTGGCAATGACACTCTAATGCTAGATCAAGAATATGTTCAGTTCGAATTAATGTGCGCCAAACGGCAACATCGCTCGTAGTTAGATCATCCTCAATGCCATGGGAACTATTCGATAGACAATAGCCATTAACACAGAGGTGTGGATTAGAAAGGTGATTAAGCATAGCCATACATAGATGTCGGGTAAAGAAAGAAAAACAGCAAGGAAAAAAAAAATTCCAGTATATATCTCCCCGGACTGGTTCCGTCAAAGACCAACATGTTACATGATAAGGTATTTTTAATGCTCCGAGGTCCGTCAACCTATCGTCATAAAGGCGTGAAAAGGAAAGGGGGAAAGAAAAAAAAATACCAAAAACATGGGAAGAGAAGAGCAATGCTCGTCGTCGTACATTCCATCATATGCCCAGTGGTCTCCGACACCGCTAACGATTTTTCCTGCTGGCCCTGCTGGCCGGGTATATTCGCCGCACGGGTAGGTAGGTCATGGCGGGCCCTGATGTTTCTGCTTCGTGGCCCAAGAGTTGGTTGTCCTCATGTATGTGTGCGTGTCAGGGTGTGTGTGCGTGCGTGTCTCATCAAGATATATATTCTTGTTGTCAAGAAACTGCCGTTCATTCGGTTGGTCAGGGGAGAGGAGGTGGGGTACAACTGGCGTCAACACCACTTCCTCTACTCCACCACCCCTTTCATGGCATACATCCCAGTCTCTTCACCGCTCTGATCCGTAGCAAGACCACCTTAATGCAGGCTTGCTGCTGTCTGGTGTCAACTTGCGTTGGCGGCGACAAAAATCAATAAGACCCTTTCCCCGCTGCCAACCCCAAGTGTTGTTCGCTTGGCACTTCCGGTGCTGGTGGGTGGCAATTTTTTTTTTTTGTTTTTTCTTTTTCCTTTTCCTCTTTTTATCAAAGAAAAGAATCCAAAACGCGTGGTATGGTATGGGAATACATAAAATAAATAAATAACAAGGAGCCTTGAGATATCAATGCATTGATCTACCAACGCCGTTGCGTGCACCTCCAGGGGAATCCTTAACATGAAAACAAGGATGTGTTCTTATTCATAATTGAATGCGAAGAATAAAACGTGAAAGGAAGAGTAAGGGAAGGAATAATTGGGAAATGAGGATGGCTGAGGGACTCGGAAAGAAAGAAGAGTCGCTAAGCCGTTTCGCTCATAATGGCAAGTCGCAATCTTGCAGGTCGATCCTCCATGCGCCGCAAAACATAAATTCGCATTCTTCGCGGCCTATGCGAACCCATGTCTTTTAGACAGACTATGCTTGGCGTACCAGAGTCGTTGCGTCCTGGCGTGTCGAGTGTTGGCGGTCTCGGAGGGCGGTCCAAATGATGAAATACAGGGAAGTCTGCCGCCGGCAGCAAAATAGATGCGGAGTGGGATGAGAATCGGTGCTCGTCCTTCCTATCTTAGCGGAACAGCTCTGCACGGCAAGGCGATCATGTCCGGCATCGATGATAGGAAGCCGCGGTGTCCCCGCTACCGCCCTTGTGCGAGGAGTTCCTCTATCGGAGGAAGAAAGGCAATGAGAGCTGTCCCTGAAATCGAGGCGCCGAGACGGAAAGAGCACCTAGAAACTGGGAAAGCATCAATTCCTTCTCCCGGAGAAGGCGGCTTTATCGATTTTACCCATCGGGTGCATCCTTGGCTCCCCCCGCATTCATACCCGCACCACCGAATTTCTTCATGAAATTTTGTTCAGGAGACGATTGGCCCACGCAGCGGTCCCTGGAGAGCGAGTCCAGATTGACCACGCCGAGCATGTTAGGCACGGTGACAAATGACCGTATTATCTCGATGACGGCGGCCAGTAGTATTCTGAGCAGAAGCATGCAATGCGACCCTCCCGCAGTAGCGCCCACTGACCCTCATTTGGGCGTTGGGTCCTCTTCCATCATGCATGCGTTTTCCAGCATGTTCGTCCATTTCCCGCTCGATCCCGCGTGGCTGTGCTTCAAGTGTTGACGGAAGTGGTCGGCCCGGTAAAATTTTTTGCTGCTGTTGCATTCCCTGAATTTGTGGTCTGCTGTGAGGTGATGGATCCGCTCATCCCAGTCTTGGTCCGATGCTGTGCGTCCCACCCCTCCCGCAGCCACCGGTCCGGTGCGCTCGAAATCTCGCCCACAATAACCGCACGTATCGGCCTCACCTGGACGGTTAGTGCTCTCGTGGAACGCTTGACTGTAGCTCGTGAGCGCTTTGCAGCTCCAGCTGTGACGGCGAACGTGAAGGCTGTTCTGGTGTCGCTCCGCCTCGTTTTTGTTCTTGAAGCGGTTGCCACAATACAGACATTCGTACTGCTTTTCGGCTTCATGTGCGCTAAAAAGTCATGTGTGTTAGCAACATTTCCGCATCTTTGACCTCGGATCGTAGGATAATATTAGGGATGTTATGTACCATAATTCTTCAAGTGTTTCGAACTTCTTGGGTTTCTTTGGACAGCATTCGCACATGAGCATGAAGCCTTGCATTCGCTGTCCATTGGGCTTGGAGACCTCGGTAATCTTGCGGGGAGAAGCCGTTTGCCTGCTCTCGCTAATATTTCGTTGGTGGGTTCCCCGAGAAATTGAGCCCCGCGGCGATGGGTTTATGGCGTAGCCTTGCCCTCCATCAGTGCCACCACCAGGCGACAGGTGAACAGGAGACCTGCGCCCGAAGGAATTGACGCTCGTCGCACTGCTTGGCGCAGCGACGGAAAATGTCGAGGCAAAGGAGCCGCTCCGACCGGCAGAGGACACTGAAGATCCGGAGCCCTTCGGGTGGACAGCTAACCTCGGGGTAGGAGAGCCCCGAGAGGGCTCCCGGCGTCGTAGGTCACTTTGGCTACCCATAGAGTGCAGCATTGAGTCATCACCGGGAGGCGATGACGCACGTCGCTTAAGCCCGGCTACATGATATTCCTTAGATTCATCCAGATGTAGCCTTCGCATCGACGAGGTCTCGGCGATCTCCGAATCGGCGCTGTGTAGTTCATAACCACCCCTCGGGGACGCTGCTGAATCTTCACCTAGTGAAGTGCTATTTGTCCTACCGGACCGACGGCGCCGAACCGAGTAATCCACATCCGAATTCCCACCAGGGGATCGAGGATCGCGGCTGCTGAGAGAGAAAGGACCGAGGCGAGGTGACACGGCCGAATGGAGAGGGGTCTGCGTGAAGCGCTCTGGTTCCTCGAGAATGGAAGTTCGGAAGGGGAGGGAGACCGGCACAGACAAAGGAGGTAAGCGGCCCTCGGGCGAGAGGCGAGAAGGGAAGTGATCCTGGGCGGAGGACGGGCCGATGGACGAAGTCGGGGACTTGTCGAACGTCCGAATTGGATTGAGCTTGTTCTTCATGTTGTCGCAGTAATCGTCGGCGCTACTTTGGAATCGGAATCGGTTGTGGCAGGCGCCAAAGCCGGTAGGCAGAGAGTCCTTGGACCTAACGGTCATTGGTCATGTTAGTGGACATCAGATTCGACTAACCGCACAACGATTATCCCAAGGCTGTCGCCTCAGAGGCGCACAGGGCTGTGGCAGAAATGCGAAGAGGGACACGCTTACCTTGTGGACGACAGACTCGCATATCCTTCGTCTTTCTCCACTCGCAAGAAGGGTCCACGATCCATGCTGCTAAAGCTTCCGCTCCCAAAGAGGCTAGGTTCCCTGCTACTAAAAGGATTAAACGAATCTCGTCGCGGCTCCTTGTAGTCATAACCAGGAGGCCTTCCAAAGGGGAACTGTGGCGGGGGTAACGGTGGAGGGACCTCTTCGACTCTTTGAACACCCGGAATCGTCATGGCGCTTGTGGTGGAAGAAGATGAATGCTGCTCATAAGGCATGACTTGAGGGGGGGAACGATATCGATCTGGAGGATCCGAAGCTATAAAGATTGACGGGAGGTTAGAGGCCTCGGGGCCGTGCTGTCGACTGAAAGACATGGCGTCGGAGTGTGAGGAGGAATTGTGAGAGCGAGGCCAGGGTGAGAATGATGACAGCTGAATTCGCAAGTTAAATTGCCACCAAGACGACCACAAGGCAGCTGAACAGGGGTTCGTATAGATTCGGCGAGGACCAACGAGATCGTCATGAAGCGTCCAGCAACAGAGGGTCGTTAAAATAATTGAAAACCAACAATCCGGTTTGCTGGAGTTATTTTTGGGTTCCTGCGGCCAACAGCGCCGACTGCAGAAAATCGAAGGGTATGGTGGCGACGAAATTCGGGATTGCCGCCGGGGGTGTGTTTTCCGCCTGGACCGAGCACTAGGGCAAAAAGCGCAGACGTCAATACGATTGAGGGAGCCGGTCGACGAGCTCGGCGGGGCCTTCAGGGGCGATATTTAGAGCTCAATTGCTGGGATTATAAAAAGAAAATTGGTGTCCTGAAGCTGTTGGTGATCGATGGCAGAATAAAAAGGAATGCGGCAAGCGAAGTTCAAGAGAGGGATAAAAGAACAAAGATAATAATAATAAGATGGGGGAAAAGAGGAGAAGGGGGAAAAAAAAATATGCAACAATGGACTGGTCGAGAGGAAGTTGGGAGGACACAGGAGTAATGAGAAGGGATCAACTGCGCTGATCAACCGTGGAAGGTAGAATGCAGGGTGGTTGTATGTATCGTGGCCAGGGGCGGGAAGATTGGCCCCCTGCTAGCGAACCATTCGGCGACGAGACGTTGGAATCGAATCGTGTTCCTTGGCTTTAGACAGAATCCCTGATTCAGTCGCAACGCGCTTTGCTAACCGATGCCGTCGTTGCCACAATTAGATATATAATGGACGGCGAGTGCCAACTTATGCAAGGTTGGATGATGGTGGGAAAGCCGATGTCTACGGTATTATTGTATTGTACCTGCGCGCAGTCTTGGGTAAAAGGCGCTGGTAGTCGTAGTCGTGAGAGATGTTATTGACCAAGGCAAGCTAAGCTATGTGAGGAAAAAAGATCTTGTTGCCTGTCCAATGCCATGCATGCGCGGTCTCGGTGTGTTTGGGCGTGGAGTGTGTGAGCTGTGCGAGTGTGTTCTCTGTCTGGCTGAGTGTCGAGTCGGGCTGGTCGATTGGGTGTTGTTGGCTGGACCTGGTGCCCCGAGATGTCGAGATACAACTTGCGGACAGCAAGCACTTCGAAAAGACGAGATACAGGGTCGAGGAGTGTGAGGGTGGGAGAGCCCAAGTAATATGCGAATAGAAGCCAAGCAGATATTACTGTGGGATGAGGGGTGGGCGTCGCTGTAAGGCCAAATAAAAGTAAAAAAGGAAACGACTGCCAGCTGCGTGCGGAGTACTCTGGATATGCAGCATCAAATATATTACTTCTGGTGGGAAGGTACAACTGTACCAGGGGCTCCTTCAGAAGTCAGTCAGCATCAAATACTTTCGTACTAGTAGATCTCTTGAAGCTCAAGGGGAAGTTGGGATCCATATTATACTTCGTATGGTGTCCTGCGTGGTTCACTCGGGAAGCTATGGGGAAGTCGCCTTCTACATAGGGCTTACCCGCCTTTTCTGAGGTGGTACAACATGGTGTACACTCCTTGTTGATTGATGGATCTGGTGTGTATGCTGACAGAGTACCTTACCTGACCCTATGGTCAGTCCGCTAGCCGTACCCTACGGCCCAGGGTGGACAGGACAGGGTAGGCTAGCCCTCAGATTACGGTAGGCTGTGGGGCTGAATCGATTGGCTTGACCCCGGCGCTACGGAATCGATCAGGCGTCCGTAACAGGACAAAGGTACACGATCAGTTCCACCCCCATTTGCACCCCTATCAGCGCCCCGTTTTGGAACTTGACCTGCACTTGCTGGCCAGTTGGCACCTGAGCTAAGCGACTCAAGGGGCAGGAGCCAAAGTAGCTCCATCAAATCCGATGGTGAAGGAAAGAGGCGTCCTAGTTCTGACTTATTATCTGCCTTCGGCTGCAAGGCAATTAACGAGGCCCTCGAGTCAGAGATGCAGGTAATGACTTTTATGGGGAGCAAATGGCATTTTATGCCGTATCCTCCTCTTCTACTTCATGGTTGTTGGTCCTTAAGATGACACCGTCAAACACCCTGGAGTATACGGTTCTTGACCATCATGGGTTGGCATCAATAAACTGGGAAGGAACTTGCCGTTCCATAGCCAAGGCTTCAGTTGTATTCCTTCCTGCTTCATGCCGGACAAGCCCAGATCAACCGAGTTCTTATCAAATAGGATTACTCCAAACGCCAGCAATATTAGCCTTAGCCCTACGCAAACACACTACTTCACTGACTTGTCAGGGAGAGAAAGACCACCGGACTCGCACTAGGCTCCCTATCAAAACGGCATCTTTGGTTAATCGGGCAGGACAGAGTAATAATGTGCTTTGGAGGGAAGAAAAGAAGTGGGGCTGAGAACATTATCTTTGAACCCAGAAGGTGGGGACGAGTTGCCTTCCAGGGCTGGTCTTCGACACTGAATACCTCACACTACGAGGCACTAGTGTATGGAGGTACTATGTAACTCCGTAGTTACTGGACACACGCCGCACGCCCACTCTTCCGGTCCATTTTTCAAGGACAACTTTGCGAAGCACTTTGTAGTGCACTGGTAATTTAGGGGGTGGGACCTGGCCTAGGAAGGAAGGGAGTTGCCTTATTATCTGATCCTCCACTGTTTACCTCCGAGTATGTACATACACTACACTACAGGGAGTACGACCCACTTTCTCTGAGCAGACGTAATGTGAGGGTGAGAAAGATCGCGGTACTTGCACTGACCAACCGTGGTGTACCTTTTCTCATCTACCACCGTTTCATCCTCTTCAATTTCCGTTTCTCCTCCCACACTGTACTCAGGACGATGATGATTACAGGGTCGCAGATTAGGTCGTGGGATTAACCTCTACTTCCAGAAGGAAGGAGGAAGACGGGATGCCAAGAGGAACGATGGTTTCTGTTTCGCATGATGGAATAGTCTAGCTGAGATAAAGTCTCGGAATGGTCCACACGCCTCGCGGTTTCCCCAAAGTCTATGAAGTGAGAGTGGCCAACTTCCAACACCTCACCAGTTTCCTTTCCTTTCCTCCAGACCGCACGGACAGGGCCATTCAAATGGGGTGCGACGTAAAGTACGCGTCTTATTCGTGGCCCAGGACATGATCATGCCTACGAAGTAGGAGGGAGTATCAATCTTCTTTGATCGTCACTCCCCTCGTCACGACATGGACGGCAGTCTGTGGCTTTTTGTTGGTGATGGAGCTGACGAGACATCATTTGGTAGTTTATGCATCTGATGTCAGTGCCTTCGAGCTCGGAGGATGTTGCATCTGTGGTAAGGCCACATTCTGGTCCGGCAATGCATTCCAAAGTGGCTTGAATGTCAGCACCGTTGCGCCGTTCATTGCCATTCCCACCGACGTAAGCTCGGTCGTCTTTGCCCAGAATGGAGATTACGAAGTACGGGGCCGACTCGATGCGGTGAGCCTCTTGTATCGATCCCCTCGTAAACAGTTAATACGCTATAATCTGACCGGAGTCACGATTGCTCATAATATGCATACATCCACATGGTATTACAGTTGCATCTGGTGTGTTGGGGAAAGGCACGCACACCCTGAGGTTGCACTCCACCCATCAACCAGCCTAGTAAGGCTACACCACGTCGTCCAAAAAGGTCAATAATGTTACGCAATAATATGAAGCTTACCAACGGAATCATTCCCTTTGGCCGGGCAGGGAATCAAAAAGGGCGAAATTTATTAGTGAAATGTTACCGAGCAAGAGGAAAACAGAGCATAGCCCTGCATTTGGAATGACAGCAAAAAAGCTGGGTTGGGATATAGATTGAGAGGTTGGTCTTCTGATCGCTCGTAGCTGCGCCTTATGGGTATCCGCAGCCACCACACACGCAAGGAACTCTTCTTTCCCCAAGTTCAGTCTGCCAATGGGCCTCGGGGTAGTTTCAGATACAGTGGATTTGCTGCACTGCGAGGAATGTTTGATTCGTTTCTTCAGGAACACCCATGCAGGCAGCAGGCGAGAGAGAGTTCGAGGGCACATTGTAAGGGACCATGGTCTGAAGCATAGCGACATCTAATGGGCTGTCTTGCCTTCTTTCCTCCTGTTCTCTCCGATCATTTTCTCTCATCCTACATCAACAACCACGCAAGTCCGTTAGTAATTGTAGCGTCGTGCAGATGACAATCATCTCATACTGTACAAGTCAGCAAAAATGTCAAGCGGACCGTGTGCGGACGGAAATTACGGCGAGGCTGTTGGGAAAATACAGTATGACGGGATCCGCCCCTCCAGTAAAAGCCGACACGATCTCGGCGACTGACCCCGAAGAGGCAAGACATTGACATCCATTATATTAGGCTCCTTATTGTCCCAGTTATTTTCCAGGGGTAGGTGTGCACAAACATAATCAACCGGTGTTATCGTATCCACGTTCATTTTAGGTTCCCGCAACCCCTTTTAGCGTGTGTCCTATGGAATGAGAGGGTTAGAGAACTAATATTCATGACTTTCGATGATAGATGTTTGATGTTATTTTGAGAGTGGTTCGGCGTCATCGACCAGAAAGTGTGAGAAACCATGCGACGGGACCGCTCCCGAGAGGGGGCGATCAATGGCTTTGAAAGGACCGACCGGTCCCTGCAACTGGCATCGAAGCACCTCATCAGCCCTACCAGTACTTGGTACATGCCACGTTCTATGGGCTCGGAACCACAGTTGCGAGGAAAAGTGGGAACCGAATTGCCTGCCCCATGCCAAGCGGAAGTGGCGTTTGGCACGTACCAGGAAGCGGACCCGACAGAGGTCCCCCCTCACTTGTTCGAGCCGTCAACAACTGTCGAGAGGTTCGTGCCTCGGCCGAGAAAAAAATGTGAGCACGTGGGCATTCCAGAATTTTTTTTTTCTGTCCCCCTCTCTTACGGCCCTGTCTGTTTCGCCGATTTACTTCGTACTTCGTAAT